AAATTTGTTTTAACTTGATTGCACCAAGACACACGAGTTTAACAACTTCGCAAGCTGTTCGTGTGAAACCAAAATCGAAGGCCTTTAAAATCCTGAGGTTTTTGTTCTTGGTTTCAAAATCATTTGCACATGTTAGTAGACACTCGACGAGCCAAGTGATGCCATGTCTAACGAAGACCAATGCAACAACACTATCGGTATGTTACAAGCAGGTGAATCTCGGATACATGTAGCCAGGCAGCTGAATGTTTCCCTGGGTACCATCTCTCGCCTTTGTGATAGGTACAGACAGCGAGGTTCAACACGTGAGGATCGCTATATTCGGTTACGTCATTTGCTGGAACGGTTCACAACAGCGACCTCTACTTCAGAATCAATTTCTGGACGGTGTAGGATCTCAGACCAGCCCGTTCGTAACCGTCTACGTGAAGCCAGATTACAAGCCAGATGTCCTGTTAGGGCTGTTGCGGAAATGAAATGAAATGAAATTGGGTTTTGCATTCTACTGTTCTGCTCCGATCTGGGCTACTGAAGACGAATTGTCCTAGAGCCGTAGAGTGTCCACAAACAAACAAGACAAGGGCGGCAGCATAATACATGTACATGTACGTCCACATGAAAATGTGGGTGTATAAAAAAGCAAGCCTGGAAATAAGGCACCTGTCACAGACAATGGCAGGCACAGATTCAGGCTTTTTCAGGCACATTCTCTCTGCTGTCTGTCATTTTATCAGGCAGTGATTTGTCTTTTTTATTGTTATTATTAATACATGTCCGGCATTAAGTTGAAAATGTCAGGAACTATTTAATAGTGCCGGACATTTTGTCACGTACATCTAAAACTGCTATTCCCAGGCCTGATAAAAAAGGACAGTATAACCACATGTATAAGTAAGGGTCGCGACTGACTTGATTGAAAAATACAAGTGTCAGCTTTATTTGATATGGTCTTTTTACTTGTTAAGTCCAAGAAGTATATTTCAGATTTTTATATTTTGTATGTATGTTTCAGATTTCTGTATTGATGGTAACTATTTACAATTAATGGTACAGTAACTACAGTACTGTATTTTTATTGACATCTTGCTCATGAATACAAAATAAGCCAATCTGTAATAATATTTATGGTTACGCCATATAAATTAAAGATACTTCATTTTATAAACCTTCTTAGAGAAATTAAACCAGTAATGCTGTCTGGTGCACCATTTTAAGCAATGGGAATCACTTGCAAACTACAATATTGTGAAAGATGAATTTCTAATGGAAATACCAGTCCAATAATGGTTCAATTCTGTTCAGTATTTTCAAAGATACCGGTATGTGAAATTGCAATTGCATCGAACTATGTTGTCCACAAAAAATTTAATGATTGGCCTGTTTTAAATCAAATTGAATCCAAGCAGGGACATTATCTACATGTAGCTTTGGTATTTTGATTTTGTTTTCTTAAATAAATGTTTATTAATCAATCTGAGTGCATACAGTGTATTAACCATTGATGAAGCAGTGAAAAATCTGATATTTTAGTGACAAATTACCAACAGCGTATCTTTACTTTAATAATAAGTAAAACTCATTGTAGTCATATTACCCTGTTTTAATTGGTAATAATGATAAAGCAATGAGAGATGTTTACAGATCAGTTACCACACTATTGAGATAGTATTGTAATTAGATCAGAATGGCAAACACCAATTAGATAAAGGCAGTTCAATGTAAATAAACAGCCTATACTTGTATGGCTAAGAATGAGGTCAAAACCACGGGACATTATGAACTCTAGAACTAAAATGATAAGGTCAAATTCAAGCCCTTAATCAAACCATACATGTATGTACATCTGCAAGTGGTAGATTTTGCATGGATGTAGCTCTTATTAATTAACTACTTTTACAATAAAATTATTTTTCAGTCTATTATTTCAACTTATCAATTGAAAGTTTGATAACATTTTTAGATTATTTGCTTTTTTTTCTCCAATTTACGTCACATCAAAAGTTGATTTGCACTTTGGCATCGAAATAAATCATAATAATTAAGTGTCCGACAAATAAAATTATCATTCCATAGTTTGCAACTTATATCAATCTGTTATTATTCTAACTTGAAATAAGTAACAAAATTATCAGGATTTGGTCACTGACTTCGAATGTGTGCTACTTCATTGAAGTTGGGTTGTAAGTCATAAATCACTCATTTACTGCATAGATACTAGGCTAATGACCCATTACCTTAATGTGGAAATTATGTATCAATTTGGTTGAAATATACTCTGAACTGTCAGTTACATGTTCATGTATAACATTGAACTGGTCCTCATGACATGTGCCCTGCAGTCATAGTTCAAAATATTTATGGATTTTAGAAAGTAAATGAAAACTATTTTGGCCATACCCTTTATAGCCTAAAGTGAATGTAAATTTTGATCATTTACACATACAGTAGTTATTTTCATACATGCCTCTCTTCTCAAAAGATTTAATATATCCTAAAGGGTTGATTGGAGTTCTTTCATAATTTGTTATCAGGTCAAAGTTTATATGGACATACAGACTTGTTGGCAAATTTGTATCCCGATAACAATTAACATTAGTAGTGTAAGATTTTTACATGCCGGTGACAAAACATTATACAACCAGTGTAAGGAACAAGTGTATAATTTATCAATTAAAGGAGCTAAATCGCTAATATTTGGGACCTAGAAATTGACAAAAGTGGGTCGCAGTGCATATAATACTGTAATATGAATGTATATAAACTGATTTACATTCAATGGTTTCCGTTTTTACTCCAATTTCAAATCAGTTATGTTCGGCGAAATAAGCCAGCAGTCTCAAGCGAGTGCAAATTTCTAGTGTCTGGTTATTCCAGTCTACATACGCCGTTTGATTTGGTGCAATGTGTCTAGCCCCGTCCCTCGAGTCTCTTGATACAACTAGGGCTGAAGCGCATTATGGTACACGATTCGTGTACCAATGGTAAAATGTTTATTTTGTCTTAAATATTCGATATCAAAAGCCCATCTTTTTCCGGTAAGATCACAACATGAATGTTGATTTAATTTGACAAATAAATTGTGTTTTCAACGTGTAAGATTTTGGATGATATTGAGTTAGAGACTTAGCTACTTTAAGCTTACATATATTGTAATGTACATGAACTGGTAATTAATTAAATGATACATATGCATGTATTTTAATTCCTCTGAAATTTCTTTTTGAAAACAAATAGGTTTCATCTTATGAAAATAAACAAGTCAGTTTGATTATAACTTTAGCCTCTGACTGAAGGGTCCACAAGATTTTTCAAGGTGACCACAAGATGGACAGTCCATGTTAAAATGGAAAACTGATCTCAATCATAATTTACATGTAGGTAACATAATACATGTATTTTACTTTTAATAGTACATGTACATGTACATGTAGATTGTAGACTCTAAGTTTAATAATTACCAAATTTTTAATAAACCATACCTTCAGATATAAATCCACAAAATACATAGCCTACGCAACTCAATATTATTACAGTTATGACCATTTATAATCTCCCATACATGTACCTTCAGATATAAATCCACAAAATACATATGCAACTCAATATTACTACAGATATGACCATTTATAATCTCCTACATGTAAATATATAGCTGAAGAATTTGATTGCCTCCACCATATTCATAGCCATTAACACTGGCGATTCGAGGCTTAAAAAAGATCTCTATCAACCAGTCTACTCTAATATGATGTAGGCCTAACTCATTGGAAAATTTTATGAAACACATGTTTAGGAGCAAGTACACATTTCAGGCAACCAAATGATTGTTTTGTACATGTATAAGATGAGAAAACCATAGAAAGCTACTGAAGCCGTCATTATCAAGTTATACTGCCTGAATGCTGTTTTCGAAAAATATAATTTGTTCACAATTTTCAAAATAGCTATTCTTTAAAGAGAAAAAAAAAAAAAATCAAATTATGCAAATATGTCAATTCCAAATAAATTCTAGGGGATAAAAATATTGACTTTTTTATTACATTATAACTACCAGTTTATTTCTGCTAAAGATGGAAATCGCAAGGTATATTTCATAAGTTGCTCATACATGTACATGTATCACTAGTCCTGCTAGGTCATGTGATGCCAGTTGATGAATTGTTTTGATTACAGTTTGTCCGATGTCCACTTCATAACAACGTAAATCTGATCAGTGTCATTTCGCTCTTGACGTGATCATGCTTACAGTTACTGAATGAACAGGTATGCTTTCGTGGACCACCCTACCATGAGAAAGTACAGCCGACCAAAAGACAGCATGACCTTGCTGACTGACATCTGTTGATAGGGCCAGGGAGACCTGGAGTGGACCCAGGAAAGATAACATTTCAGTCTCACAGGTTTTAACAAACTATGGCTAGATACCATTATCTATCAACTACAAGTACATATGTATTGACATTACGGCAACTATAGATGTGCAGTACTAATCAGTTTGGGTTGGAACACTTTATTTCACATACATCATAGATTTGTACATGTAGTCTACTTCATTAACTCAATACACAAACATAACCTGGTTACATTTGCATGAATATTGTGTCAGCGATTAAGTTATCAACAAAATATCTTTGTCAATGCCAGCATGCCTGTCAATTTATCAGTCTGGTGATGAATCCTCTCCGCATCATGATCTTGATCTTGTCGAGATTAATTGGCGAAAAAAGGATGTTTGTGTACAGAATAAAAAGAAATATAGATATATATTATATGTAAAATGTAAACTTTGAAACAAAATACAACAGAGTAAATGCAAGAATTGAATATTGAAGCTGGCGCGCCCCTTTCAAAGACACACGTCTAGTGTAATGTAGTGTCAGTGATGATAACTGACTGAGAGGAGCCTCAGTCAAGAAGTAGACTGCGACTCGTTCCGCTTCCCGGAGTTTTAGACACAATTAAAATGTTCTATCCCTAAAATAATAAGTGGCGAAACTTACCCACAACTCCGCTCCCCAGCTCATGGCTGCATTAGTGCAAATTCAATCAACAGACGCCAATTAAACAGTTTATTCTTTAACACTTTTATCCTCACGAGAACGAAATCAATTACAGTAATGGCGGACGATCTGACTCACTGTCGCTTCCGGCTGCGCAATAGAATAGATTGCCTAACACGAAAGAAGAAAAAATGCAAGAAAGGATACCGATTTATGTACCAATCCAACTTTATCTAAAATGTATCCTGTATCGCCCAGAAAACAGTGATACATTTGGAATAACAAATGAGAAAATATATTTTACAAGAAGAGGTATTTATACAAGGTTTTTAACAGTTCAACAAACTGAATTGAGACAAGGGAGGTAACTTCATTTTAGCGCACCTGTTCAAAGTGACATAATGTTTTTGTGACGTATTTTCTGTAATGAGTGTTCCTTCTGAATCAACCAAATATTCAATACCCGTACTTTTCCAATCCATCCCAGGAGGTAGAGGATGAATCACAAAAAAATAAAAACAAAAAATAAAGAAAAACCTGCAATTAGACAGATTTAATAGCTCTTGCATAATATGTAGGCCCCTATGTTATAATTACTGCACATAAATGTTAAATTATACCCCATTACAGGAAGGAGCGACTATCCTGATTTGAACAGAGTCCTAAAATAAAACACGTGTACGTATGAAATTTAAGCGCCAAAATACAGAGGATGGACGTGTATCTACCCTGTCTGGAAAATTCAGCTCAAAATATTGTGTTGTTTGGACGTGAACGTCAAAACTGCTTATGCGGACACGTAATTACCCTTTTACTTTTAAGATTTCGGGTCAGTTTTTTCGTTGGGTGACCTGATATAGTCTATTGGCGTTCCTTTAGAGGTCTATACAATGTATGACCCATGTGCTGTACTTGATAACGAAAGTTAAATTTTACCTACGTTATTTTTATAAAATAAAAGTCTGGTTTTATCCAGACCGTATAATACAGCTTAGGACACCGCGGTCTTCATTTCCAGATGAAGACTGATGTGTTTCAGTTGTTTGAAAACGTATCACATATATTGAGTTAATTGTTCGGCGCTTAGGTAGAGGTCCTCTAACAAAAAATTAAGCAGTTTTATTCTCCAAAATATAACCGAGATTGGCCCTTTAAACAAATATTTGAATGAATCCCGAATTGTGGCATCAACTCATTTATCAAGTACACAGCCCCCATGGTTAATGATACTGAAAATCATAATTAATACTGGATATTAATCACACATTCCTGTTAAACAACATGAGATGAATGTAGTGCCCAGAGTAGAAATGCAATGTTTTTGAGAAGTCATTTAGCCCATAGTGATCCATATTTACAAAATAAAAACACAAAAATAACCATGAGCGGCTGCCGGGCAGGATACGTCCACATTTTGCAGGAGATGGATAGAGAACAAGCTAAAAACTAACGCGATTTTTTGTACAATCTGGGGCAATAATCCAGAAAGTTATGGTCTGAAATGCGCAAATATCAAAAGGGACTGAGATCTTTGGGAAGACATGTTTTAAGTTTCACAAAAATTGTGACCTCTAGAGGGCCCACTACGTTCGTATTACATACTTTTACACAAGTTGCGTACAAAGAGAGCCATTTTATTTTTTATTATTATTACAGCATATTTATAGTGCACCCTTTCATATAACATGTTCAGGGGCACTTTACAAAGTGACAATGTAATCAAAAATAAACAACAAGATTATGGACATAACGATTGTATAGAGTCAGTTAAAAGCCTGATTAAATAAATGTGTTTTAAGAAAACAGAGATGTACAACATCTTCAACTATGGTAGATTATTCCATAAAACAGGTGCTTGATAACTAAAAGATCGCTGACCATAAGAGACTAGTTGAACAGTTTTGGACAGTTTCATTTCAATTTTCCCGAAATTCGAATTCAACCTTCATTGTGGTGGATTAGTGATATATTTAAAAAAAATTGTGACCTCTAGAGAATCTGAAAGCAAAAAATGCGATTTTTCGAACAATCAGCTAGGGACCATAATCCAGGAGGTTACGTTCGGATATGCGCGATTATCAAAAGGAACCAAGATGTTAGTGTGTAACGGTGATATATTGACACGTTTTTTTTAAAATCGGATAAAAATTGTGACCTCTATATTTTGTACAATCAAGGGCCATAATTCAGGAAGTTATGATCCGATATGCGCAAATATCAAAAGGAACCAATATCTGTGGGTTATAAACATGTATTTCAAGTTTCATCAAAATCGGATCAAAATTGTGACCTCTAGACGGTCCACAACCTTGATAAACCAGATGTTTACACTATTTGCGTACGAGGGGCGGCCATTTTGTCCGACAGTTTTGGTCCGATTTTAACGAAATTCGAACCCAACCAACATTACGGTGTAACGGTGATATATTCAAACGTTTTTTTTAAATCGGAATAAAATTGTGGCCTCCATAGGGTCTACAAGCTAAAACACATGATTTTTCGTACAGTCAGGGGTCATAATTCAGGAAGTTACGGTCCGATATCCGCGAATATTGAAAGGAACCAAGATCTTTGGGTTATAAACTTACATTTCAAGTTTCAACAAAATCGGATAAAAATTGTGACCTCGATAGGGTCCACAACCTTGATATACCAACGAAGGGCGGCCATTTTGTCTGTCAGTTTTGGGCCGATTTTCACGAAATTCGAACTCAGTCGTCCTTAGGGTGTAACAGTGATATAATAATAGGTTTTTTTAATCGGATACGGTCCGATATGCGCGAATATTGAAAGGAACCAAGATCTTTGGGTTATAAACTTACATTTCAAATGTCAACAAAATAGGGTCCACAAGCTAAAAACGCGATTTTTCGTACAATCAGGGGCCATAATACATGAAGTTACGGTCCGATACATGCCAATATCGAAAGAAACCGAGATCTTAGGAAAGGATTTTCTGAGAATCAGAATATTTCTTTGGTATGGCCTAAATATTACTAACAATCAAGGAGGTGTAACATATTCAATTGAGTAACATTATCCTTAGGTCTAATGTCCAACTTCAGTGGCAGATAGATCATGGTAATTCCCAATCTGATTAAAATACAGATCTATATTTCGTTCCGTTTCTTTACACTTTCAATGGCCTACACTACATGAAGATCTGACCGGTTGTAGCGATAGGTCGCGTCAAAGGTCATACAAGTGGCTTTTGACCCTATGACATCAGACATTTGATTAACCAATCAGCATTGATGTTACTAGTGGATTACCCACAGTTCCGTACAAAACACGCCTAAAGTTCGCCGTAACAGACCGTTTCATTGGCTATTCCCTCACATAATTCAGAACACGTCAATGATAACAACTCTTTCAGATCCTAGTGTAGTAAAGACAAGTAAAACAAAATTTTAAACTATAACAACGAAACGAAATAAGATCTGTGTTTTAATCAGATTGGGTAATTCCCAAATTCCAATCTTATCCTAAATCTAGGTGGAGTTAAAACATTTAAAAAAACAACCAAACACAGAAAACAAATGGTTTAAAGGTATATTTATTATACAGCTTCGTAATATTTATATTTGAAATAATTTTAGATGTGTGAAAAATAACAATATACAGATATTATATAATATGTTTACAACAAAATGAGAACAATATATGCCAAGGATAACATACATGTAACACTGCCCCATTGTTTTAAATAACAGAAAAGATAACAATTCAAACAAAGGGATATCATATAAAATTACATAAGTTTGATTAAAACAGCGTTGAGCATATACATATATGAAGGGTGAAAATCCACATGATTTCTATGTATTATAAGCTACTAAAGAGCTAACAAGAATGATATATCAATCGTAAGGATGTTGATCGCCTTGAAATCTTATACAGAAATTGTATGTAACGAAACAAATCCCACAACCATTAACATGATTACCGAAAAACATACACATTGTTCTGTACAGATGAGTTTAAAATCTCTCACAAGCTTTCAATTATATTTACAAGATTTGGTCATTTTCAATTTCAACCCATGCAAAACAATGTATGCTCAATGTAACTTTGACAAACAGAAACATGAATAGCAACAGACATCTTGACTTAACTGTGGTCCACAACATTACTACTTATGGCCTAAAACAGATGATCAGGTTTACTAAGACGCCCTCAAATGCCCGTATTGTTAAAATATATAATCAATTGAATGAGCAGTACAGAGACAACTCCCGTCAATAATGAGTTGCTTTAGCCCACAGGTAATATGTTATGGTCCTTCATTATGCCTAGATAAGCAAATAATAGTCAGTTTTCTGGAAAAAGTGAAAAAAAAGGAATGCAGAACAAACATCACTGGATTAAAGAAAACGTTACATGTATAAGTACAACCAAAGTGTTTTCAAGTCATAACCTGGTATGATAAAATGTGTTTTATCATTTATGTTTTAACATGAAATATATTCAATTTGATACATAATTTGACATTATCACAGTTCAATAATAATAAAAGCTGTCGCGGATCAACACTTCAATGTAACAGTCATACCCACAATGTCCCAAAAATTCAGAATTCACACAACAAAATCTGGTATTTACATTTGACAGTTTCTCATATATCTTATGTATCAATTTGATTACAAGGCCAACAAACAAATTAGAGCTCAATAATTATGCATTTTAAATCTCGACATGTACTAGGATTTCTTACTAGAAAAACTTTAAATCCGATTTTATATTTTACATTTTTAAGGGACAAAATGCAAAAATTCCATTATAATGGAAAATATTAGACAGTCCCATTTGTAAACAAGATGTCCTCCTAATAAATAAATATTTATGGGAAAATTAACAAAAGAAGAGATAGAATCTTAAAAATCTTCACATCTTATAGCGTCAAGGGCTATGATACAAAGTTCACAAGGAGTGTTGTTTTAGTTCATCAGAGTTTAAAAGCAACCAACTTTCAAATAGCATAATGGTAAGGCATCTTTGTATAAAATACAGAGGCATATGTCCTTATAATTGCAATTTACTTATGGTATTTGAAGATTCTGGCAAACAAATTGAAAGACAGGTAAATTTCTCAGATACTGACCAGACTGCAAAAATAAGAGACCTGATAAATCTAGGTTTACTATTCAAATGTTTAAAATGTGAATCCCTTTCAATTCTGAAAGTGATATAAGAAGACAGATCTGATGCTGTCTGAATTCTTTTCTGTTAATTCTATTACAAGTGAATATTTATGACAAAGCAAGCAGAATGACTTGATTATCAGTTAGTTTCTCCTACTGTATTTCAAGTCAACAACATTAGAACATGTCTGGTAGTATTAAAACCTTGCAGTTATGTTTTTAAAGGGACAGTATTTTCCATTAAGTACACATACATGTACCTATTAGTATTACCTATGTTGAACAAGTTTAATTTTTCAAAAGTGTTAATATTGGTACTTGAAATGGAAAGCTGTATAAGGCATAAGTATCAGATCAATTTCAAATTACATACAGGATATTATTATCTACGTTTAGAATATCACAATTATCTTATAAATGTAATAAAATTATATGCTAATATATTAGATAATGAACAATTCTAGATTAATAGAACTAGAAGCTTAAATAAAATCTACAGAAATATTTACATACAGTGATACAGCTATTCTCTATTTAATTTATTAATCATTAGTATTGTCAACATATCAAATCTTCAATTCATCAAATTTTGAGAAAAAAAAATCATTTTGTAAAAATCAATCATTGTTAAAACGATCTTCTTTCATAACTAATTAAATCAATGATATATTTCTAGACAAAATAAATGAGAAGAAAAGTCTCCGAAAAAGAAAATTTATAACTTTCTTAAAAGTTTGAGTTTCCAGAACATTATATTAATATATTTACTCAAATACAGATAGTAAAGAATAAGTATAAAATAATAAGATTTTTTTTTTTTACAACATTTAAACATTATGCACCTTGAAAAAGAATACAATAATAATAACACAATCTAGGCAGTGTAAAGATCTAAACAACAGAACTGAATTTAAATCCAATCCATGCATAACGGTAATAAAATATTCCGGATCGTAATGCTAACAGTTCAACAGTAATTTTGCTTGATTTCAACCATATTGCGTAGAAATAAATACAGTGCACCAAAAAGTGTTTTAAATTTGAATATCCTGATAATCTTCGCATCAATTTGTAAACTTTCGAAATATATATTTTCTACGAGGTCAATACTTCAAATAGGTATTTTTAAATCAAACAATTTATAAAGGTTTAAAAATCATATACCCAGAAGTCAAAATTTATTCATTTAAAATCCCATTTGCAATGGAGAAATTATAGAGCACTCAATTAATGACCTTATGACATAATCAATTGGTTTACATTAATTTACAAATATACAAATTAAGAGACAGTTACAACAGTAATAGATAAAACATTTTGTGCAATAATTCAACAATCTCGACTCAAAATTGTTATTTACTTTATCAAAGACATTCAACATTGAAACTACAACATAAAATGGATTGAATACTTCTTAAGAATCCTAATATTATGTAAGCAGCAGTGGTTCAATTTAAAGTTTTCATATATATGGGTTCAGTTAGTAGATGCACCATGGTTCAATATGGCTACACCCTACAAGTCAAATATTCTGCATCTAATAAAGTGATCATCAGTAGGTCATCTGTCAAAAACCACTAACAATCAAATCATTTAAGTTTTTTGTATCATGCTCGAGATGTACTCTAGAGACTCAACCAGATTCAATCCTCTGCTGATAATTATGTGCAGAAAATGGGTCATGTAGAGTATGGACATACTATAATCTACGTCAATTTGCGGACGGTTTAGTACTACAAGAAAGTCAAGATAAAAAAAACAACAACATTGGCTTGAAAGAAAGGCAGGCAACCATCTTGAAACACATACACTGTATTTAAGAATTACACTTAATTGTGAATTTAAATTACTTCATGCCTAAATACTTTCGCACTTGTTCATATACCACGTAACTTATACTGACAGCTGGTGCCACTTTGAGGAAATTTGGAGCAATTCCTCTATAAAATCCTAAAGGTCCATCATTCTTTAAAATTTTAGTAAACATGGATCCCATACTATCTTTTTGAGTAGATGCTGAAATAAATAAAAAGACATTCTTGTGAGTTTTAAACTGTAAATTAATTAGTAGAGCACTGAAATTGAAGTTCCTATCATTCACTCATTATGAACCAGTTCTAAAAGACCTATATTATTTTGCATAGCAAATACATCCAAAATGGTTCTACAGCTATGAAGAAAAGTGCTTTTAAAAAAAAGAAAATACATTTGATAGAGTACTTACATTGTGCTTGTAGTCTGGTACGTATTAAAGCTAAAGGATAACTAGCTAATTGACCACATGTAGAACTAGCTGTACCACATCCTAATAATACAAATACACCAGGATCCTGTCCTTTATGTTTTGACATGTAAAACTTCTTTAATGTCTACAAAAAAACAACCAAACAAGATGTACATACTTGATTAGGCAAACAGAAACAATAACATTCACCATTTTGAAGAACAAGGTCATACACAGACTAGTTATCAAACAGAATAATTTTGATGAAAAAGTCAATTTCACAGCAGAAACTAAATTTACCATTCTTCCGAGCAGCACATAAAAGTTGTCACATATTTATTCTTTAGGCAACAGAAGCAATTACAAAACGCCAAAGACACATTGCCATGCAACTAAACAGCAGCTAAGGCATCCTGAGTAGTCCAAAAAGGATTTTGCATATCCTTTCTTTTGTAGGTAATGGTAATCTGATTAAAACAAAGATCCTATTTTGTTTTGTTTTTTAAAGTTCAAAATTTCGTTTTGCTTGTTTTTACAATACTAGGGTCTGGAAGAGTTGTTATATAACTCCCATTCTGGTTGATGTGAGGGATTAGCCATTGAAACTGTCTGTTGGTAGATATTCGCAGCAAAGACAAAGCAAATTTGATTTTTCAAATACCTACTTAAAACATCAACACTGATTGGTTAATCAAATGTTTGAAGTCATAGGCCAAAAGTCGCTTGTATGACCCCTGACAAGACCTCCCACAATAACAGGTCAGAGCTTTATGTAGTGGAGGCCATCGAAGTATGAAAAACCAAAACGAAATATATAAGGGGACATTAAAAACCCCCACTAAAAACAGGTCAAAAGTAACAACTCATCGTCTTCTAGTTCTTCATGGTACTAACATTTATTACGCAAACCATGTGCTGGTAATCAAATGATATCTCAAACTGTTTGAATTATTGGAAATTGGTAAAATAAATACTGGAAGGCTTTTTCATCTCATAAAACTTTAGCCACCAAGAAGATTTTTTAAATTCATCAAAATTAATAGGCTTCTTTATCTCATGAACGAAAACACGAATAATAACAAGACAGTCTAGCAATAATTAGTATTATTTGATGAACTCACCTCATATATAGCTAAATCAATACCAGCATAGGGTATAATACCTATTAAATTAGGTATATAACCCCGATAGAAACTAGCAAAACCTTCTGCTTTTAAAATCTTTTTGGCACAGTCAAATATACCATTATATTGACCAGTTTTCCTGAGGGCAAGACGAGTCTTCAATAACTAGAATACAGATATTTAAAAATTTAATCCTACTACTTTAATGTGTGATAATTCACCCCAGAAAATATTATTGGTTTGCTTTTGCCAAATATCAGCAAATTACAAACATATTATTACGCTTTAAATGATATAACATTGTAATATACATAAATCCAGTTACAGACCCAGCAAGAAATAAATATACTATATTACCTCCATAGGATAAATGACAGTTTGTGAAATAGCTCCAGCAGCCGAACCTGATAGTAATCTTTCCAAAACACCAATTTCATGTTTACTGTCACCTTTAATTAATGTTTTAATCTGAAACAATCACAACTATTTTAAGAGTTCATGTGTATTGTAAATAACAAGTTTATGAATAATCACGTCTATTTCACTATTGCAATACTTCATAAAGTCAGAGTTTATCACAAAGCACAGTTTTATTTTCAATAGTTTTTTTTGTTTTTACAACTTTGTTCTTGCCTTTGTTTACTGTAAAGCCTATAATATGACAGATTATGTAAATACACATTTCAGATTCTTTGTTTTTATAATGTTGATCTGGTCTTTGGACACATTGTTTTACTACAAAATCTAAATAACGACTGATTATGTGAATAGCTTATTTTATTCTTATTTACTTTTACTCTGTTTTTCTTCGTCACTTTGCAAAATCATACAGCGATTGTCATAAATTTGAACGACATTTTTTTAATTCCTATTTCCTATTCAGTGAGAGAGAGAGAGAGAGAGAGATGGGGTTTAACAAACTAGGTCATTTCGGGACTAACATGGTTCAATTTTATTTCAATAATTTGCTTGTGCATAGGGGTCTTTAACATTGGGAGGAAACCGGAAGACCCAGAGAAAACCCATGAGGTTGGAGAGGCAACCCTACTCCTTTGAGAAAGTCTTTATAAACAGTCTAGCTAACATTTATGATAATCATCAAGTGCCAGGTGAATATATAACAAAAGTAGAAAAATATTGATACAGCAAAAATGTATCAATACAGTGTATCCCAGACAATCATAGCAGTATAGAAATAGCAATATTTTTTCACAGCCTTAATATTTTCTTTATTATATATTTCGATACACAGGAACTGGGTATTCAACTAACCTGTTCATAAGCCATAAACTTGATGGCTGATTCGGGTGCAATTTTAATTACATTCATAAAATTTCCTCTCCATAATGATCTGACACCACCTTCGTCTAACATGTGTTTAAACCCTGATACAATGCTTATATTTTTTGTAGAACCATGGACCTACAAACAGAAATAAATGATCAGTTCTATAGCAATAATTCATATTTCATAAATTGAGTGAACGTGAATAAAGTCTTATGAGCAGACCAATATCTGAATGTTTGTCGAACTTCTACCTCTGTATCTTTATTACACAAACAAACCAACAGTTGGGCGGATATCCAAAATAGATGATACATATTAATTAATTGCACATGTATCTTTTTGAATAGTATCAAGCAATCAAACTGATTATCTATACTTAGTCTAAGCATAAAATGTTCATGATTGAACTCAGTCAAGGTATTGAAGTACCTGGTAGTAAAACTATGCACTAAGTTTCTTCACTCTCCATAAGTTAAAATCAAAGTTACATTTTCCCAAAACATCGACCGATGAAATTGCTTAGCTCTGCTTAGCTTCGGCAGAAATTGGTTAATCCTTAACTCAGTCAAGACATTCCAATAATGAACATCTAAACCAAGTTTAAACATTCTACCTCAATTAAAAGCAGAGTTGTTATGTTCCAAAGTTTTGACCAATCAAATTGCTTATCGCTAATTTAGTCAAGATATTGATATAATGAATCTATACTCTGAGTCCACCACTCTCAACCAATCAAATTGCTTGTCTCTGCTTAGCCTTTGTGGAAAATGCGCATGATCGAACTCTGTCAAGGCATTCACCTAATAGACACCTACACCAAGTTTGAACACTCCACTTCAATTAGAAGGGGAGTTATCAAGCTCCAAAGTCTCAACCAATCAAATTGATTATCGCTCTGCTTACCCTGAGCAGAAAATGCTCATTACTGAACTTAGTCAAGGTATTGATGTAATGAAAATATACACCAAGATTCATGATATACACCAAGATTCATCACTCTCACTTGATTAGAACTAAAGTTATCGTGTCCCAAAGCATCAACCAATCAAATTGTTTATCTCTGCTAACCCTAAGCAGAAAATGCTCATCTTGAACTCCATCAAGGCATCCAAATAATAGACACGTACACCAAGTTTGAACATTCTAGCCCAAATAGGAGAGTTATTGTGTACCAAAAAGTGTGACAGACACACAGTCGGACGGACAAACAGACCTATTTTAATAGTCCCCTGTTTTCTAGGAAAGGCGAGAGACAAAAAAAAATGACCCAGTGAAACACTTTTAATTTTAAAAATTGACTCTTGATCCATACATGTAAGGTTAATCATATTTATTTGTCATAAGTACTAGTATAATAACATATCACTCAGTAGGGTATTGGTTTACTTTACCTGTAACATAACTTTTAACCTATCTAGTGGTGCTGTAAATGTTCTAGATACAGCGCCAGCTGCTCCTCCTGCTACCAACTGTCTCCACCATAACCCAGATTTTAACTCTTTCTCTGTAAAATCATCTGGTACCATTCCATTTTCACCAATGTCAATGATCTGTTAGTTAATAAATCATTCATTTCACAAATATTCTTGACAGAATGAAAATATGCATGATTTTGATTATTTTTTTAGTAGTTTGTCAGATAATAAATATTTAAATAAATCAACAATATAATCAAACACTTTGGATATGCTCCGTTTCCTGTATCAAAATTTATTCTGACTGTTCAAGAAAACAAGAAAATGGAAGTTAAACTCAATAGTAACAGTCTGAACAAAGTTGCACAAGTAAAACTTTCTTTGTCATTTTTTTTGACATAATATATGAAGTTAATTTTTATTATAATTGAGAGAAACTATACAGTACCGATGAATGTCTCCAATAATGTAATATGTCATGTATATTCTGACTTGAAGTTAGTAATAGATAATCTCTCCATTCATTCCAATCTATTTTCAATGTTCCGTCTTTATCCATCCTGAAAAATGGATTTTGTTCAGACATGTCTGATAATAATAGTAAGAAGAGAGAGAGAGAGACAGAGAGAGATAGAAATGGGGTTCAATATCCACTCTATACAAACTAGGTCATTTTGGGATTAACTTACACCTAAGGGGTTTTAGCAGTGGGAGGAAATTGGAGGACTCAAGAGAAAACCCATGAGTGTGACATGACGCTGCTCCTTGTCACGTACAAGCAGGGAATCGAAACCATGCCACTTGACTCAATGCAAACCTTCTGATGCAATAATAGTAAAAGGACGAAAGTTTAACAAACAATAATCGGGCAGAACAAATTCAACGAAAGGTTTCAAAGGTTTTGGAAATAACAGCCGTCAAAATTTTTTTTTACTGTAACAGCCATTATTTGAAGGACTTTTATAGATATATTGAGTTATAATTCTTTATTCCAGAACAATCATAAGCTAATATAAGTAAAGTCTTCATTGAACTAGACTAAAATAATAATTCTCTTACCGCTTTAAAAGATCCTCAGCTTCTTTAATTTCTATTTTAACCCCTAATTTCAAGAAGGATTCCCGAATTTCATTAGCATCAATGATTCCTGAATAAGAGAAAATATCTGTACATGTTCAGTAATCAAATACATTTGTAAATATTGATTTGAGATTTTGTTTTGTACAAATCTTCCATTTTAATAAATCCATCAATGTAAGGCAAGAATTGAACAGAATATATCATAGATGATGTATGTGGTGGAAAAATGAGGCAAAAAATTAATACCACATGTATGTCAGAGGTCAAAGTTCAAAAAGAAAACATTTCTTTAGTACTAAAGAAAAACTTCTCATAATACATAGAGGTTTGCAAGTAATTAAATACAGATGTTTAATTTTATTGTTCACTTCGACAATTAAGTAATGCTTTGTTATGACGGACATTATGAGGGCTCAGATTCGATATTAACCTGTATTGTAGTTTACGATAAAATTTGTGTTGAAATCTGTTAGATGGACTTTTTCAAATTAATTTTGATAACTGATTGACTAGGCATATAGCACTGCATTGTTTTCAAAACTTGCCAAACCACAATGACACAATCAACTATAGCAACAACAAACTATGCACATAATGTACAGTTGATTTAGCATCATAACTCCCATAAATAAAGCTTCTAAAATGTTTGAAGGCCACTTCATCTACATGTATACAGGAATCACTGTGCAACATTTACTATCCAATGTATACAAACAACATATTAATCACTGTACAGGACAAGTGTATTTTCCTATACAATGTAAAACTCATGGAGAATGTATTAATCCATGTGATACAATAAAAGAAAATGTTTTACATGATTTATCTGGTATATTAAAGATGGGTTCCCGCGTACAAACTGGGTGATTTAATGGTATATATATGGACTAAAAACATATTCAAACTAATTAATTTGTCATAACTTTGCTTCAAATCCTTCTCAAACATTGTAATTGCGAAGGAATGTCCTGTTATAAATAAAAATTTGATCAAACCAGGTCATGTTTACGTCACTTGACTTACCTCTCTTGGAAGTCAGAGGAGAATTCATTGCATACATAAGACGATGTTGTCTTTAATCGCTTACTATTTATTACATATATCGAATTCTAATTAAATTCTCGGATTATCCACTACCCGCGTCTTTTTCCGTCATTTTTATCTCAGAAAGTGTTGTATGTCTAACTCTTCATAAAGTTTATCAACTTGTACATCAAGCGCTCAATGTTCGCGTGTGACATTTGACATCACACGTGCAGAAATTCCTAATCGTAGGGCTGTTGATTAGGGGAATCCTTACATTTTTGTCCTGTATGCTCCATGAGTGTTTTTCGGGAATTCCAGTATTTTTCTAGTAAGATTGAATATCTCTACTTTCCATATACCAAAATTACCATACTTTTATTGGAAATAACCACGCGATAAATACTTTTCTGGGAACCCATCTTTAAGTTATGGGTGGCAAATGACTGTACCTAAATGTACATGTACTTACAATCTTACGTATAAGAAGAAAATCTTACCATCTTCATTTGTGTCAATCTTTTTAAAAAACAGTTTTAATGTCTGCTCATGTTCTGTTACATATTTCACAAATTCTCCGAAATCAATCTGTCCATCATTATCTTCATCATATTTATCAAATATTTTCTGGAAGAAAAAAAAAAAATGTTTGTAAGTTTTCAACCTATGCTAAGTGTGAATCAAAATGGGAGCTAAACCTAAGTTTAGCTTTTAAATTAAAATATTTTTAGATATCCTGGTTTTGTCCAATAATCTGTTTAACCTAGCAATGTACATGTTACATGTATCCACTTATCTGATAACTGCACAACATTATTAACTAATTTCATAAAGTTGAACTAATTTGATTTATTGTTCTTAATGAATCGTCACAGTTTCTGATTGTCATTAGACTTAGAGGGATTTTTAATCCCATGCAAATTACATTACTGAAAAAATATATTCTGAGAAATTTTCATTAACAGCGGTTGCCATGCAAGATACACCAACATTTTGCAAGAGATGGACAGAGAACAAGCTAAACAAAAAAGTGATTTTTTTTATAATCAGGGGCCATAATAAAGTTGCAGTCCAATATGCATGAATATCGAAAGGAACCAAGATCTTTTGGATATAAAAATATATTTTATTTTTCATCAAGATCAGATAAAAACTGTAACTTCAAGAGGGTCCACAACCTTGGTATTACATACTTTTACACTACATGTATTTACGTACATGTAGCAGCCATTTTTGTCAAGCAGTTCAGATTTGAACTCAACCATCATTAGTGTGTAACGGTGATATATTTAATCCGATAATAAATTGTGACCTCTAGACCTTCCACAAGCTAATAACATGCTTTTTTTGTAAAATTTAGGGGCATAATCCAGGAAGTTACGTTCCAATATGCACGAAAATCAAAAGGAACCGAGATCTTTGGGTTATAAAGATATATTTTGAGTTCCATCAAAATCAAATAAATACATGTACTGTACTGTGACCTCTAGAGTGTCCACATACTAAAAAGATGATTTTCCGTACATTCAGGAGCCATAATCCATGAAGTTACGGTCCGATACATACCAATTTCGAAAGGAATTGAGATATTTTGGAGATAAATCTATATTTTAAGTTTTGTTAAAATCGGAGAAAAATTGTAACCTGTAGAGGGTCCGCAAACAAAGTGTGAACGGGCGGACAGGGGCCACAATATGTACGCATGAAAATGTGGGCGTATAAAAATCACTCACTTTCTACATGCATTTAATTCCACCAAGATCCTGTAGAACTAACAATTAAATTGGCAAGTTGCCTAACAAAGTTAATATATGTGAACAATCAATGTTAAACCTTCACATTTTGCATATTTTTGTATCCTAGAAAATACAGCAACAAGTCATTGTAAGGTCTATGTAGCAACCAAAAATACATGTACAAAATATGTCATGGGTTCAATGTTTCACATTATATGTGAGAGAGAGAGAGAGAGAAATGGGGTTTAACGTCCAATCGACACAGCCAAATCAGTTAGAAGACGGAGACATATTTTTTAACAGTGTGTTGTGTTGCTCATACTGGTTCTAGCGAGGTAAGCAAGGTCTTATTTTCTCACTAAGATGTTCAGTTACATTTGTCAGGCGTTCACAGGGACTGACAACCGACCGTTTAGCAGTAAAAAGTTACCCAGTAAAATTGACCAAACTGTTTCGCCGAGGATTCAATAACACGGTCCCTGAACTTACAGGGCGAGTGTAATGAGACCTACGTTCAGAGCTGAACTAGAATACGTCTAGCCTCGTTCTTCGAGTCCCTTGTTACGAAATGGCGCTGAAAAATGTTTATTTTGTCTTAAATATATCGGATATCAGAAGCCCATCTTTTCCAGATAAGATCACAACATCAATGTTGATTTAAATTGACAAATAATTTGCGTTTTCAATGTCGCAGACTTTGGATGATATTGAGTTAGAGACTTACATATGTAGCTACTTTAATCTCTAAAATGACATTGACAGATGGGAGTGGCTTAATTAACGGTTTTAAAGCTTTCAGTTGCAATACGCCTATAAAATCTATCATTCATAGACATAATAATAACAGAGTTTGCAATTGGAAAAATAAAGGCCTCTTTCATTTGGATATGTGAATATAAAAACAATGGATTTGTTCTACATGTATAGGTGTTTTAGAGGTAGAATCCGTGTTTGATAGGTGTGTTATTGGTAGAATCTAAATCTAGAAGCAATTTTTTACAATTCATCTGGGTTCCCAATCAATCTAGAAAGAGTTTGGGTTTTCTCTTTTATTCTGAACCAGATTCAGTTCAGACACATCTGACAACAACACGTCCATGGCCCTGTGACATGGTGACGTCTACCACAGCTAAACAAACTACATAGACTAGTAGTGGCACAGCCCACATCACAAGAAAAGTAAAATACGAAGGCTACCGGCGAGTAAAAGTCGATATGTCAAGCTAATGTTCACCTGAGCGTGTCCTGGGCTAGTGGGGACATCCATAGCCTTCAAAGCTTTACTTAAATCCTCTATATCTATTCTCCCATCCTTATTTATGTCTATTTTCTTAAATAACTCTTCCAGTTTTTTATCTTCAGTGATAGTCCGAATAGTATCCGGCCGACTAGGCTTTACTAGCTCCGGCATAGTTAATTTTCTAAGGTCTTGCCGCTTATTTTCGTCGTCTACACTTCCATGGGACACCACTGAACTAGTCTCGGGCTGGATATATTAGAGAAGTGTGATTGGTTAAAATGCAAAATTTAGACCAATCATGTTTCTGAGGTTGTCCAGTGCTTTTTCTCAGTCACACTTGGTCACAAAATTGTGAACATTAATTTTACCATAAAGTCATTACATGTACCGACATCATTTTTATACGCCCACATGGAAATTGTTGTTGATTGTCACGGCATCCGTCTAAACGTCGGCCCGTCGTCCATCAGTTGGTCCTAATTAGTATTATTGCTAAACAAAACAGTTGACCTGAAAAAGCCCCATAATAGAATGATTGAATACCGGTACCAGTAGTTTTCTACAGAATTCTGTAGAAAATTTATAGAGTTTTGTCTTGTGTGGGGCGTGTCCCATTTTCTATAGTATTTTAAAGAATTTTGGGGGCCTGTAGGAAATAATGGCCACAAATATGCTACAGTTTCCGTAGCGCATATCCTATAGTTTTTCCCTCAGATTTATGGGAACATTAATATTATAAAGCCATTCTATAGGTTTTGTTATTGCACTATATAATCTGTTGGAAATTGTACGGATATGTAGGAACGGGTCGGTACTATAGAATTACCATATATAGATTTTTTTTTATTAGGGTTTCACCCTGTGTAGCTTGTACAGTGAAACACTATGTGTTTTTGTTAAGATTATTATTTTTCTTCTTATTTTTTTTTTTTTCACTTTCGAGCATATCTCAGAAACTCAAATCTATGTCTTCGGTTTTCTGGAAAAGTGGGTGTGCGATAATTTCCGAAATTACCGAAGCTGTCGTTTTATGAAATTTTGCCGTAATATTAACAATAATCATCGGATTTTAACATTTGATATATTTTGACATGGCACGAGCAGTGCCGGATTAACCTTGTGGGGGCCCGGGACATACCAACTGTGCGGGGGCACCCCATTGTTGTTTGTTCAAATTGGCCGTACTGACCGCGGATCGTACTAGTATGTACTCCGCCCCCTCGAGTGCCTGGGGTGTTTTCCTCCAGGATTTTTTTTTTTAAATTAGGATTAATTTCAGTGATTTCATTGACGTTTAGAATTCGTTGACAATTTGAGTAGACCTATTTTAAACAGACTCTTTCTCTTATGATGTTTTCATTTACTTTATAATTCAACCAATTTTCTAACTGACCATAGGTCAAATCAAGACATAAAATCCCAAACAAAAGACAAGGAGAAAAAAGACGTAAAATTTAGGCAGGAAACATGTTCAGATTATACATTTGTCTGAACTATACTATACTATGATTACGTTAATTTTCCGGGACTGGTTGGGCCCCAGCAATTACATCGCGGGATGGGGTCCCCGGAACTGGTTAGGACCTATTGATTGGTAGAACCTCTAAGTTATGTAATTTAGTTAATTTTAGGGCTTAACCAGTCTCTGGGCCCCCGAAAATCTATTGGTACCTACCAGTCCCGTGGCCCCCAATATCCCTTACTGCCCAGGGTCCCAATCCTCGCCCCCATTAGCCCAGGTACTGGTTGGCTCCGTCCGGGATAAAATATTAGTATGACCCAGAATTGTGGGGGGCCCTAAATGTGGGGGTGGAGGGGGTGCCGGGACATTTGTCCCACTTTGCCCCCCCCCCCAGATCCGGTACTGGGCCGGACTCAAGGTAAATAGCTATATATTGTTCTTTAGATTTCCTATTTTCGACGAATCTTCGCAGATATTAGGCGCCAAATATTGAAAATTTAAATTTTGACAAAAATCTTTTTTATTAATGAATATTTTTTTATGGCGTTTTACCCAGGATTAAAAGGTCATGCGATTTGAGCAAAAATGTGAACAATTTTTGTCTCGATAGTTTTCCTTGGCCGCTATTGGCTAATTCAGTTTATGGGTTCTAGGTTAATTATTTATTGCTCGATTTGTATAAAGTTCATATGGTGAATGGTGAAAATTCTCAACTTTTTTATCACCGATAAAGTTTTCTGTCGGCACCAAAAATGTCGTAATTTTTCCAAAAAACTACAATATTGACGGTAAGGAAGCATGAAAATATTAATTATTACAGACGCAACAGATGTCGGACTCATTTCAATTTTGTTTTGCGCCATTTCGATTTATAGGTGAAAAAAGGTGTAACAATGAGCTATTTACAACCCATCCAGACTGTTCATATTTAAAAATATTCCTTCGTAACTATCATACTTGTAACTTTAATCCATAAGAAGAAAATGTATGTCAAAATTAGTTTGTAATATGAACTGTTGCCGAGAAATGGTAAATTTAGCAGAAGTCACTTTTCACGTTATTTTGCCTGTAAAAGAGTCAATTATTATTATATTTTCATAAATCTGACACCATTTGATGCATAAAGCAAATGTGCGTTATATCAAATTGATTGCAATTTAAAATTGTCACCGGAAGTGACACCATTTTGTCAAACTTAGTATTGAAAATGTTCACTTCTAGTTTAAATCAATGGATAAATAAAAAGAATATGGTCATATAGATATCACAAAATGGTTTATAACTTGTTCAGTTGCGGAGAAATAAATGATTTTCTACAAGTCACATTTCAAAGTTTTTGGTTCATCAAATTGTCAATTAATATTCGATTTTCAAAATCTTTTCACCATGTGGTGCTTTATGCCAATTACGATTTCATAAAACTAATTTAACATTTTCATTATCACTGGAAGTAATGTCATTTTGGCAAAAACTGTATGTTTAGCCTCCAAAACAAATATTTGATTGAAGTAAGTGATATTCATTATTCGTATAAAATTATGATATTTGATTTTAATGAACAAATAGTATGAATCATTACGATCATAAAGATATCAAAAAAGTGTTTCTAGCGTCTTCCTTTGTCAAGAAATAACCAATTTTGTCAGTATCACTTTTTAAGGTTTTTCACATTTTAATACGTCTTCATAAAGGGTTAATTATGTTTGAATTTTAATCAATTTTCTGCCATGCAAAGGACAATTGAAGCGGTTATTTCTGTAATCCAATTTAAATATTTTTGTTGAAAACGGAAGAGATGTCATCGTGTTGAGACTTCGTTATATTAATGGAACTGATATGGCTGGATTCTGCGCCCATGTTAAAACACGTGATGTTTATATAAATGAAATGAAATGGGGTTTAACGTCCTACTGTTCTGCTCCTATATGTCCTGTTTATATAAAGCCCAATCAAACACGACAAGTAATAGTTCATGATAAAGTACTTAGAGTTGTAAAGAATCAGAAGATTATTTTTAAAGCAGAATCATCATTATCTGATTCTTGTCCTTCATTAATGCTTGTCTCCCTCAATAAAAATAGTGCTGTTATCCACATAACTAATTCTTCTTAGAAGACTTTACGTATTAAATCTTCTAGACCCTTGTCATATCTTTCTCTCAATCACATATTGGCAAGTGAGAGCATAGATATTATGGACAAAAAGTCATCTTCAAATATCTCCACAGATATCAATTTATTGGAGAAACAACTTGATCTTTCAAATAGCATTCTTACCCCCAATTAACAGTCGGACTTCCATCGCTTTCTTCGGCAACACAGAACAACCTTTTAGACTACAGGGTGAAATTGTACAGACCTAGAGATCGACATTGACGTTTTAAATGACAAAGCGCCATTCTATATTCGGCCATATCGTACAACCGACAATGAGAAACACAATATTGACGAAGAGTTGCAAAAATTGGTTAAACTTGGAATTTTGTCAGAAGGACATCAACCCTATACCTCACCGGTGTTTATTCTTCCTAAGAAAAATACCACCGAAAAGCGTGTTGTAGTAGATTTCCGCTATCTCAATTCTCGTATAAAACGTACGAACCACCCATTCCCTCTCCTGTCTGGAGCAACAGTATTAAGCTGTCTTGATTTAAAGTTGGCATTCTTTGCTTTGCCCTAGTCACGAAATGCTCGGCAGTATACCGGCATTTCATCGTACCACGACGATAAGCATTATTTCTTTAAACGCAGGGCCGAAGCATTTTCACTGCCAGTTTTTCAATCCCACATTGATAAAATTTTGTCCGAGATTCAAGGAAGTAGAAAATACTGCATTGCTCATCATGATGACATCATTCTATTTGGTCCAAATGTTGATATCCATAAGACTCGCCCACAGCTTGTCCTCAGTTGTTTAATCAAGCATGGCCTTAAGATATTCCCATGTAAATGTGCTTTAGTTCAACATGCAATTACCTACATGGGCCACATTCTTTCCACGGACAAAAATGGGTCATTAACCATAAAACGCCTTACTAATCGATGTCAAGCAATTAGAAAGTTATCTTCCTAAATCTTCCAAAGAGGTTAGACGTTTCATACTGTAAATTGCATATCCAGTTTTATGCCGAGACTACAGATTGTTCTGTGACCCCTTCACAAGATCTCAAACAAGAAAGCTAAGTTTGAATGGACAGCTCAGCATGAAAATGCATTCGAAGAGGTAAAGACAATTTTTGTAAAATCTCCTATTCTTCATTTACGCCAAAGTGTCGGACGCCTGACTTTATATAGTGATGCCACGCGCTTAGCTACAGGGTCGTATCTTACTCAACTTGTGGACAATGAAGAACACATTTTATGATACAGTAGAAGGTTGCCATCCGCATGCCAACGGTACAGTGTAACAGAGTTAGAACTCTTTGGTTTGCTTATAAATGTAACACACTTTCATCATCTATTAAAGGGCCTTGAAATTGACGCTGTGGTGGTTCACGATGCAATTGTCTACCCCTGCTTCATCCGCTCCACCCGCCCCAACTGTACAGGTTAATTCTCCTTCTTCATCAAGTATGAGTCCTCCTGATTCCATCGACACACTTCTACAACTAGATCGTCCACATAGAAGGGTGATTGCTTCATTCCTTCTTTGTGACATTCCCACAGAGGAACGTTTGGTAGATAACACATATGCAGAACAATCTTCGGGTGATTGAATTATGTGTGCCCCCAAAGCCCTCAAAGGGAACTTAACAAGTTGCTGAAGATCATTCAAAGGAAGATAATCAGAAATTATAATTTATCCTTGGACGCAAATCAACTACATGTATGTCTTTCACAAGAAACATCGCCTTATTTTAAGCCAGTTTATGATTATCTTTCCCACGGAATCCTTCCTAGTGACAAAAAGGCTGCAAAGTCTATAAAGATCAAATCAGGGGGATATATTGGTGACTCACTGTTATTTCGTCTTGTCATTCATAAAGATGATGAAAACTTCACACTACAATTGGCAATACCTGAAAGAATGTGTGATAGTCTCATTAATCTATACCACGATAGTCGTCTTAGTAAGCATCAGGGTATAATGCGTACGTATCTCATAATGCGCAAATATTTTTATTTTCCCCGTATGTTTGAGACGATTTCCATTTATATCAAAACCTTTTCCACTTGTCAAAAGTTTAAAGGCAAAACCGACAAGCTAAGAATTCTCCACCCTCGGGTCCCTTCTGAATATCGCACTTTTGATCGGCTAAGTATCGATTTCAAGACTATGCCTTCTATTCCTTCAGGCTTTAGGCATTTCATAGTTATAAACGATGAGATTACACGCTTTGTTGTTCGCGCTCCCTTAAAACTTTAGATGCTGAATCCATCCGTGAAGTCTTAATCCAAAAGGTTGTATGTATTTTCGGTCCTTCATCCATCATCATTACGGATGCAGCTGCTTCTTTGACTGGTAGCCTTGTTTCATCAGCCAAAAGACATTAGGTGTCGAGAACCATGGAAGCATTCTAGTGGAGCGTCATATCAAATCCATTTCAGACCTCATAATGGTCAACCTTAATCAATATGGTACAGATTGGGTGCGGTATATTGGCACATGCATGCTGCTATTCTTACAATTCATTGTGACCACAGTCTCTTTGGATTAGCTTTTGGAAAGCAGGCTAAAAGTCTTAACAAATCAAGTGTCAGTTTGACGGCGTTTCACACTCTTACGATGATTATATGTCTCACATCTAAAGAGCAAATTTGACAACTTTTCGAACATTTCACTTGAACTTCAAAAGCCTGATCAAAAATCCTGTTTATGGGTTAGGTCAGCTGGTCTACTTTTTTAAGCCAACTTCATCAATCCTCACTGCTCAGTCTCGCAAAATAAAAGCAGTTTAGTGTTGGCCTTACGTGATACACCAATTCTTGGACAGGACCCACTGTTCTTGCTGCTTTGGATGGTCATGTACTTCCAGATGTTTTCTCCATTAACCGTCTCAAACCTTGTTTTGTGCGCGCTCCAAATCTCAATGAACGTATTGTGCACATTAATCAATTGCAGCAGAAATTAGGTAAAGCTTCTTCACATACCGTTAATTCTGTAACTTGTGAGAATGTCATGGAATTCATAGATAAACTGAATAATGTTTTATCTAGGTCCGATAGTTCCCATACCTGTACCTGTCGATACTTCACTTTGCCTTAGACACTGTGCGGAAAAAAAATATCATCATTTAGCCTCTTAATGATTTATCCTCATCACAGATAGAGCAGCAGTACAATCTGCTATCTCGGGTTCCTACTGTTGATCATATATATGCATATGTATATATTTCCAAGGCAAGTTTTAAATATGGACAATTACATGTTCTTGTTGGAATCCCTAATGCACACGGGACATGTTCGTATGAATGGATTAATGTTACCTCTTCCCCTGATCTGTTTAATGTCACTAGGACATATCTTGATAAGAGAATTCCACTGATAGCTAGTACAGAGAGATTTTGTCATCTACTGCTCATTTAAAGAGGGTGATCTCGAGAATTGTTGTTTACAATGTTGTGATCATAACCTGTTATTTGTTACTATTCAACTGTATTTTTGTCATCTTTGTATCTATATCATATCATGATCATGACTAATTATCATATACACTGCTATATTGATCTGAATATGTCAACAGTAGGGTTGGAGCATTTTGAACACACTAGATAATAGTCATCAATTTTCCTTCATGTAGGCCTATTATAATTTTCATGTATAAATGTTTTTTATTTTAGGTTTTTTTTTTAATATAGTTGTATTGCACTACATTTTTGTAGGCCATTGGTATTAAGCGAGGGGGGTGTGTCATAGATAAACAATAATTGAAAGAGAATGTGTACTAGGGGTGGGGGTGGGGTTATGATCGGTTATGGGTCCTTTTTTACTCGGTGGGGTGTGCACTTTCATTTAAAATTAGTTTCAGCTGGTTCCTTGAATATATGAATATAACCTTTTTTCAAGCCATATTTAAAGTGTCAGTTTGGGCCGTCCGAAATTGACTATTTCGGGCAATTTCATACTCAGCGAGATGTACGTATAGCAGTAATAGTACCCTTTCATTAAAATTGGTGTGGACCGGTTCCTCGAATGTATGAGTTTAGTCCATTTTTAGCGAGAGCCCCCCCCCCCCCCCCCCCCCCGCGCAAGCCCGAGCTTTGGGGTGTCAGTTTGAACCACCCAAGGTACCTAATTGTCTATAGTGATACATGGACAATTTCATACTCAGGACGCAGGTCAGTGGCATAATACTGATTCATTTAAAACTAGTTTCAACTGGTACATCGAATGTATGAATATAATCAACCAACAATTGGCATGATTGTTTGGTAAAATTATAGTATTCCGTGAAACAGAATCAATTAAATCTATTATCTTGATATAATTGAGAAAATTATAAGCCTTGTTTGAAAACGCCCCATTATTGAACACTGGGCGTCTATCGTTTAGCCGCCAAGGGGCAATAACCCATGGACTCTTCAATTGAAAGATAGAAAAAGTTTACGTATGTCACGTACGAAGTTGCGGGAAATGATGTGGACTGGAAAGAGCTCTAGGCTCTAAACAGATTTTGTAATGAATTACTTTTTGAGTAAACTGATTACTTGATCACGATGAGAGCTAATATTTTAATTCTTACAATATGTTTGATCGTATGTATATCGACCGACAAAATAGGACTTTATAGGCAAGGAGACAGTGTCAATATTCTTACATCGGAGAACTTCACGGATATTGTTTGTGACAAAGGCAAAGAATCGGCATGGGTTATACAGTTCTACAATGCTTGGTGCGGTCATTGTCGACGATTTGCTCCAAAATTTAAGAAATTTGCTAAAGATGTAAAAGGTTGTTATATAAGATTTTTTTTTCTATTTTCCCCCTTTTGTGTTATGTTTTAAGTTGAGATAATTCCGTTCAAGGAGGTGCAACAAAAAAATGCCAGTCTGTTAAATTTTGATTATGAATTTTCCTATCCGAGGCAAAGGTTTTATTATTATGGGTTTGCCATCGCTCCTTAGAAAGTGTGGTGGAGTGGAGTTGATGACAAATAAGTCGATGGGGGCCTGAAGTTAGTCATTTGGGTGGCATGATAAAAAAAAAATGAGGTCCACTGTAGATCACTAGATGTTGGTGTGCACTAGGCTAGTGCTGACACGGTGACGATGTATCCTTGAATTGCGAGATGCTGAATCGATGTACAGTATCACAGTTCCTCTTTTATGTTTTTTTGACGTTTCAATAAGGGGAAGTAACCGGTCACTCGTAAAGTAGGCTAGCTATTAAGTCTCTAACTCAATGTCATCCAAAGTCCTAGACATTGAAAACACAAATTATTTGTCTATTTAAATCAACCTGGATGCTGTGATCTTACAAATAAAAGATGGGCTTCTGATATCCAAAGACAAAATAAACATTTTACTATGGGTAACAAATCGTGTACCATAAGGCATTTCAACGCTATTTGTAACAATAGACTCGAAGAACAGGGGCTAGACATATTCCACAAGTCATGTCAAACAGTGACGCCCATATTCTTATCTGGAGAGCATGCACAATAAATACTATTGGTGTAGACTGGAATAATCCTGCTAGAGATTTCCATTTGATTGAGACTTTATGCATACTTCGCCGAACATAACTGATTTGAAATTAGAGTAAAAATGGAAAAGATTGAATGTAAATCAGTTTATATACATCCATAATAGATTATTATATGCGTTGCAACCCATTTGTGTCAATTTTTGTGTCTCAAATATTATCGATTTAGCTCCTTTAATTATCCCATGGACCTTATAAAACAATGTATTATAAGGTCCATGATTATCCACAAAACACATTATCCATCATAGGTACAGAAACACTCTTAAATTGTTTTGGTCCTTAATTTGATCCTCATCAAGATTGTGATATAAAACAGTTTTATTTCTTCGACATCAAAAAGACTAAAATTATCAATTATTCATTTATCCTGTTGTTTTCTGGGTAAATATTGACCGGGTTGTGAATCGAGATACGAATTGTATCGTAGCACCTGAATTGCTATATGTATTGCGCCTGAATTGCTATATATATGAATTGTATCGTGACTGCAGAGGCAATAATCAGCACTAATGCTAGTTTGAAGTTGATGAAGAATAGAATATGTGCAGGCAAACTTCCCATCAAAGCAGGTGCAGGAAATGGATTGTTAAACCAATTTCATTTATAAAAAGACACGGTTCTGTGTACACTAGAACATTAAATTAAACTCCTTTTCTGTTTGTAGAAAGACAATTAATTTATAATGCTCGTAAAGATAAAATAAAATATTTGTTTATATGTTCCAGTGAAAATAAACCCATGATTTATATTTTTCAGGTTGGTCGAAAGTGATCTCACTTGGTGTGGTGGCTTGTTCAGATAATACTAATACTGCTCTCTGTCGAAACTATAACATCATGGCATACCCAACAATGCTGGTAAATATATGATCTGTAATAATATCAATACTGAACTTGCATTCAAATTCTATGTGCCCCTTGTTAGTGGTGCAGGACTAGACAGTGTCTAGTTGTTCAGATGGACTGAAAAACCATGTAAACATTGGTGCGCACATAAAAGAACCCTTGACAGTTGCAATTCAGTTGCTGCCTGGGCAAAAGTTTCCTCATAACACACTGTATGTTGTATTCTCATGGCATTAGCCTGGTTGGTACGGAACAGTAGAACTTTCAACCCCATCTGGCTTCAGATGTTACATAAATTATTATTTAGACATTTATTCACCCAACAAGCTCATAATATACTCTCATGACAATTGGATGACTTAGATATTGAGTGGATTAGAGCTCCCCCTAACTACAATGTAAGTTAAATGCTAATGTGACAGCACCCAAGTTGATGACTGAATGAAGGATCAAAACTTTGTTTATTATCATGGCAATGGTATGTGAAAATTGAGAATATGAACTGGCAATCAATCAGTGGACACAGTTTAGCAATTCAGACTCTTTTCTTGTCAAAACGTCAAATATTCATAACTCAGGATAAAGTAATATTAATTTTTGATTCTCTATTTTTGAACTACATGTATTGTAGCAAGAATGGACGGCTCTTTATTTAAATCTTAATTAATGCGTCTTTAATTGTACATATATTCAAGACTACATGTACATGTAGCTCTGTAAATTTAGTGAAAATTTTCTTTAGAACCATTCACAGTATTCGTAACAATAAAATATGGCAAACAGTTTTGTAGGTTGGAAATGTAGTCCATTAGGCGTATCATTAAAAATGGTTTAGATTTGACTATGATGAATATATTGTGCTGTAAACTTATAGGCCCATTGATTTTCAATTATGTGGAGAGAGAAATGGGGTTAAACATCCACTCAACACACACTAGGTCATTTTGGGACTAACATGTTTCAATTTTATTTCAATAATCTGCTTGCGGGTGGGGGTCTTTAGCAGTGGGAGGAAACCAGAGGACCCGAGGGGAAAACCCACGAGGTTAGACAGGCTACCCAGGCTACCCTACTCCATGTGTTGTACAGCCGGGGTATCGAAACCATACCAGCTGACTCATACCTTATGATACAGCGCGCGCACTAACCATTCGGCCATCCAACTGCCCCTCAATTATGTGGAATTCATCTGCACAAAAATTAATGATTCTTCCCAAGAAATAGATAGGTCCCTATAAATACAAATGTAATGAATTATATACATAGATATATAGAATATTTCATATGTTAATATTTCTTTTTCCGATATAAACAATTTCAGCATTCATTTATGCAGCATGCGTGTCTCATACTTCACAGTGACATTTAAACATTACAATGTCAATATTAGTTTTTCAGTCTTGATGAATCCAGTTTTCTTAAGTTCATGCAAACAAATATTTGTTGTGTTTCTTTTATGTATTAGTACAGTGTATGTACTAGAATGCATAAAATGACTTTGCATACATACTATAAATCATGTGACCTTATTTAAGATATGGCTGTCTCCTGTATTGAATTAATGATCAATGTCAGAACTAAGTTATATTTTTTATAAGCTGTTCACACATTTCTTGTTAGCACAATAGAGGCTACATTAATCCATACATTTTTTAGACATTGATGTGGGTTTCCTAGCTTATTGAAAGGAGAATCCTATTGATTTTCAAAATATCTTGATAGTCACGGCCTGGTAACTTCCATAGTTGATACTACTTGTGAATGAAGTCTATGTCTGTGCAGAGATAAGCGATTTCACTCATGGAGACAGCCAATATAAGCAGCTGTCGGTTCGTCACTCTTCTTGGAATTAAATAACTCTGGCATGGGACAAGAATAGCTTTAGCATATGTTGGTGACATTAGTACATACTATAATTACACCAAGTTCAAGATCTTTAGGTGCTCATCTAACTGGTTCATACGGCTCGAAAATACAAGGCAATTTTTTAAAATTTGTGTCTGAAACCATATTCGGGGCCAATTTTCTGGGAATCTAGTGAAGGCTCATGCGTTTTCATGTTTCTTATGTAGTACTACTGGCAATCTCTGGATAGGCCAAAATTTGGTTCTATATTTATTACTTTGTATCTCCTGGAGCTATACAAAATCCAGAAAATATGCAATTACACCAAATTTTTTTCGGTTTTCATGGCCAAGTAGCATGCAAACCCTACCACTCACCTGTGATCTGATTGCAGCTTGATTCGTGATCTACACAAAAAGTTCTTTAAGACTACCAAATTTTGAAAAATCGTGTATCCGACCTTGTGATCAGCCTCGCTCTGGACAAAATACCTCGTTCCAAAAACATGTCAATTTAAAAAAAAAAAAAAAAACACATTTTAGAACTCCAGACAAACGTGGCATTTTGTTTTTACCACGTTACAACTTGGCAAAATTATGGCAAAAATTTTAATACGTTTTTGCCACGTTTGGACAAAAATGCCGAACGAGGCATTCTGAGGTTTATAGTGTAATCAGCACCCTTTATTATCATGCTTTTGGGCCAAGTTTGGAACATAGGTGGAAAATAAAATTGTTATTTTTTTAGTGATTAATATGTTTTTATGATTCTAATTCTATAGTTTAGATTTATTGTTTAATGATCACAAAAATATATTTTTATGATTCTGATGTTTAGATTTATTGGTTAGTGGTTATTACTGTTACAGGTGTCACTACGTACAGCTGTTCACTATTTTATTACTTGTAAAGATAACCATTTTTAATAGTCATGGCAAATACTAGGTTATGTTTTTCTAATAGATACATGCACTGTAGGATAACTGGTGAACAAAACACAAACAGAACAACCAATACCCCAGTAGGCCTGTCCCTGTAGATAAAAGTTGATAAATCTTGTGGATGCTGTAGAGGCTAAAGTTTTAAAAGTTATCGTTTGATTAAGTTCATTAGACAAGGAAGAATCATATTAATGTCAGCATTATAGCCTTTGATCAAAATCGAAAAAGTTATCCAATTGATTTTAAATTTTATACACAGTGTTTATGTTGATGAGTGAAGAAGCAGGGGTTTCACTAAATATTACTGTGTAGGTGGGTGATGTGTTAAAATAGGTGGCTAATTTCATAGACGAAAGGTTGATAATAGAGCCACAGGTGCTTGAATTGAACGGAAAAGATGTAAAATAACCTAGTGGGTTCAGGGGCATGCCCACCCTGTCCCGAGAAAATTTTGCGTTTTTGGCATGGAAGATGATTCAATGTGGTTGATTTTACACCACTTTCATGCATGATATTAAACTACACCAGTAAATCTTTTTGAAAGGAGATACAGAATACTGTCTGTTTCTTGATTATCACGTCATACTTTTTAACTTGACTACAGATTTTCCGGTACTGTGTTTAACGTTGGGCGTGCAGTTTGTAAACTCACCAGCTACGTGTTTAGTATTACATGTTCGTAGCAAAATGCTGTACTGTCAGTACATTTATATTTAACAAATTGTCAGATGGATATAAAATATAGCTATAGCTGGCGCCAGGAGCAAAGTAGGTGGGAAAATACACCGGCCGTCAGCTCTTAATGAAACCCCTGGAAGAAGTCTTGCTCGGTTTTTAGTTTGTGTCTTGCAAAGCTCCCACTATGTGCAAAAGAAATACTGTATGCGACAGCCTTTGTGGACTAATTTGATGGCTTCTGTGGGCATAGGTTTCTTTGCCCGTCACAACCAATCTTTTTTCTCGAAACAACAAAAAAAAAAAACACCCTTTGATCACATGCTTCTTGAATTCAGTGTACTACTGGCTGATTGACAGTCTTATAGTGTTAATAGTGAGTGTCATGCATGGGCAGAGTATGCTTACTCTTTTTTAAAACACCTGATACTACTTTGCTCGTTACCTGGGCAAATTTCCCTAATTTATTCTATGTACTGTTATGCTAATTTGTCTTTTTGTATATTCAGATTTTGAATGCCTTTTAGGTTTGATAGTATTAACCAAGTATATTACTCTGTTACTTTTAGTTATTTCCACCATGTACTACATCAAACAACAAGACCAATCTAGAAAGTCTTCCTACACAAGACCCTAAAGAAATGCGAGCGAAGATGGCTTCTTTTGTGAATGAAACAGTACCTGCTCCACCATCCTGGCCCAAGTTAAAACCATTAAAGTATGTCTTACTATATTCATACACCAGAGTAGGCTATCAAAACTATTTCTATTTACTTAAACATACATTATGCAAGAGCTAAATCTGTCTATTGAAGGTCTTTCTTTAGGCCTGAAATGTTATCTTAATTATTAATTAGACATTAATTAACCTACAATGTATCCAGACCATAATCAACTCTAGATGGCATCGCTAGCCTGCGGTCTTTAGTGGGTTATGAGCCGATTTACTGCATAAATTTCCTTCACGATTTAACAATAAACTGGATAATCGAGACTATGCTGTTTATGGTACTGACTTTAGTAATGATGATCAACAGCTTAGTTCTCGGTTCATAGTGGATTAGTTTGAATAAAATTTTCAGCAAATTGCCTTTACATTATCTAGTTTTTAACTATTATAGTGAGAACTGCCAACTTGTTATCGAAACTCCCATAATGTATCTTGAACTAAATCTCAGTTTATTAAATGCATAACAAAGCCAGATCGTCCACATGTATATTAACAGTCAAAAATATGGAAAACGTATTGTAAGGAACCTGTCACAGACATTGTCAGGCACAAATTCAGATTTTTCAATCACAATCCTTTTAGTGTCAGTCATTTTGCAGGGCATACATTTGTCTTTTTCTGTGGTCCCGTACAGTCGCTGCGTACCACCTGGTTCCAGAGAAACTCAATTCGATCAAATATCACTTTATTTGCATAATTGATTAATCAATCAATAAAGTATAGAAATAAAATAGAAATAAGTATACAAAATAATAATAAGAATAGTAACATACACACATAATGGGTATTATCTTGTGTTAGGCAGTAAACATTTTTGTGAAGTAAAAAATAACTAAAAATCGTTTATGACCCCGAAAGTGCTCGTGTACCACCTGAAAGGCCCTCGCGTACCACTAGTGGTGGGCGTACGACAGGTTGGGAACCACTGTTCTAGAGGATACATCTTTTATCAGACTTTTTTTCATATCCATTGTGAAGCATTGTAACAAAACTATACACCAAGTTTCATCACTCTCACTTAATTAGAACCAAAGCATCAAACAATCAAATTGCTTATCTCTGCTTACCCTGAGCAGAAAATGCTCATCTTCGAACTCCATCAAGGTGTTCACCTAATGATTGAGGGATGATGAGAGGATGAGTCCTATTAATTTTCTCAGATCTTGCACCACAACAGTAAGTAATCTGTTCATTTGTCCAGTTAGTATTGAAATATTATATTTACTTACTTGTATGTATATTTTATAGATCTATAGACGAAATCTGGGAAGAAGCTACAGCTGAACATAAACATGTACTATTAATATTTGAAGAAGCATATTCCTATCTGGGACTTGAGGTAAGTATACAAAATTATTAATTATATCTAAACAATTCTATGCAGATTTTGTATGTATAAGGTATAATACTATAATACCATTTTGTAGCAGTGGTCGGCTATATGGTACTCAGCAAAGTTACTAATCGATTTTGAAACAAACTGGTCAGAGAACAAAACTGTACAGAATTCAACATAAATGGTTCTTTATTATTTGTTATGTAGCACAATATACTCTGAATAGGCATATTTAACGTGAAAATAGGTCCACCTGCTTGATATATTCCATATTTAATTTACCGTATTGTCTTCCAGTTTATGTTCATGTCAACAATATTAATGAATTGAATAAGTGACAGTCTGCGTTTATTCCATAGATAATTAAAGTTAAAAAAAGTTTGTGATAAGAAAAGTTCAATATGTTTATCTTCCTCATAAAAAGATAATTTACAATTGCATCGATAACTTAATCACTTGTCAGAAGGCATTGCAGGTCTGGTTTTTTATCCGGCCACATGGAAATGTGGACGTATATTGCCGTCGCCCCCCATACATCCATAGGTTGTCCACAATGTCTCGTGAACATAATGTCATCTCAGTTTTCAGAAATTTTGGAAATCAACCTCCTTAAAAATATCTGGAAAAAATATGTTATTGTACATGCAAAAACTGGAAACTGCAAAATATCCGTTTATTGCATCTAGAGGTATGGTCCTTGTTTCACTTTGTTGAACCCTGTGAAAACTCTTAAAGCCAAAACTTTATATCATCCGGTCTGTATGAAATTTATATGCATCATTTAGATTAGTGAAATGACGAAGCCTATTAAATTTCAGAAATTTACAATAATTACTTCTAGAGTTATGGGCCATGTTTTACTTTTTTCAACCTTGTTAATGCTCGATTTTTAATTTATATACATCTATTGAATTTAAGCATGATTGTGCTTGTTTCACGCTCAATTTAACCATTTCATTTCATCTTCGTAATATGCAATGCCTATATTAATTCCCTTTGATTATTATTTTTTGTTTGTTTATTTACAGTTAATTTTAGATTATGTAGACCAGAAGAATATATTAATTAGAAGAATGTTAAAAGAAACTGTAATAAAGTATGGTATATCACAAGTGCCATCATTATATATTGTTAATAAGGAGGGAACATATAGTCATATTGCTACGTAAGTTTTATCTCATCGCTATATTCTATTCTTACTTATAACCAGCAACACTATTGCACATCTCTAAGATCTTTAATTTGAGTACACTGAAAAGAATCATTTAAAAAATACATTATCGTCAAATAACATATAAATAAACCCTAACATAGTAAAAAAAAAAATAAACAGCATGTCGTTTATTTCATAGAACTGTGCTTTCCCTGAAAGTGTCATCATTATTTGCAAATCATCCAGTTCGAAGTTTTGATGTGTTCATCATTCCAGGGGCATGGTGTCCAAGATTTATTTTTAATAAGATTTAAACTCAATAATGAGTGTATTTTGTATGAGTCAGCCCGCAAGTCTTAGTATCGGTATCCAGACAACTCGGACAACAAACCACTCGGACCAAGACCCGTCGGACCAAAAGAGAGACCAACTCGAAAGACCAATTATTTTATATTGTTAGACCTCTGGGACCAATATTTAGCTTGACTAATTCATTTATAAAAAAAAAAATACTGACAATAAATACGTTGTTATTTATGTATTTTTAAATCATAATAATTAAGACTAACTTAACAATATCATACACGTATCTGACATTGTGACAAATGATAACGAAATATAGATTTTAAGCGTTTATATACTTTGTACAGTATCAGTGCTTTGACATTACTCCAATCATTCTGATTAAAATTTAATTGATTTCTTTGATGTACTTCATCAGTTTGATTAGCTTGTAACACAGGGCTGGTACATTTACATAAGAGTTAATCAGTACTTAGTTGGTGATGTTTTGATAATTGTTTCTTTTTTTTATGTATATTAAAACAAACACAATTATCAATTTACTAAAGCAACACTTTATTATTGGTCCGAGCAGTCTTTTTATTTGGTTCAAGTAGTCTTTTTGGTTGGTCCGAGTGGTCTTTTTTTTTGGTCCAAGTGGTTTATCAATTGGTCCGACTGGTCTTGGTCCAAGTGGTCTTTGATCCTAGTTGTCATGGATTCTTAGAATCAGTTTAGGAGCATTTCCTACGTCTCCAGTGGATAGTTTACACATTGAGATGCACATGTCCTCATTGCACAAAAACGTGATAAACTTTACCTGTAGTATGCTACGAAAATTGAATCATATCTGAACACCATATTTTAGACCCTTTCATGAGCAATTATATCTGCTGAAAACTAACATTATTCCATTTTTGGGGATTCGCATACAATCCCAATTGTCTGAGGCTGGTATCAGCAATGACAGTATTGAGAATACCCATTTCTTTAGTACACCACCGTGGGCTATAATCCCACAATAAAATGAAAGATACTAGCACTATGGTGTTCCTGTCTCTCTTTGGAGACCTATGGTCTATGTATGGTGATTATGCTCCTATTTACACAGATTTTTCGAAGGATGGTGATCGGATAGCTTTGACTGCCGTCACACCATCTGAGACCATATCTGTTCATCTTCTTTTTTTACAGCTGAACTTCAGGCTATTCTTCTGGCCTTAGAGTTCATTCATTCATCATCAGTATTGAAGCATATTGGTCATCTTTACTGATTTTTTGTCCTCTCTTGAAGCAATTGATAATAATCTGATTTTCTATTTCATATTTTAAATATGTATATACATAAAGTTTGTGACATTTATTTTATTTGATATTTACTGTGATATTTGTTGGGGTTTTTTCTTATGTACATATAAATATTTATTGTGATTATTTGTTTTTAGTTTGTCTCGAGTTAACATCACCATATGTTTGGTGCAATATTAGCCGGTTGGAGCTTATGTGCCATTAAACAATATTTCATTCATTCATTCCAAGATATATTCCAGTTTGGAAATTACTGGAATATATTGAATAAATTATCTTCAAGATACTACTAGAATAGATATAATGAATATAAGCATCGAATTAATTTTTTTCCAAAATTATCATAAAAGAGAAACTATAAAATGTTCTGGTATATTTTTGCTTCCTCTAATATTTATTTCTAGTACAACTGTTTTGAATACCAGAAACCTTATTACTAATAATAACAGCAACATATGTTGTATTTTCCAGTGGTAGTGGTGTAAACCTTGATACAGACAGAACTGGATTTCAAATGGCTATAAATCTTCTGTTAACCAATAAGTTTAAAACAAAAGATGGGCAGAAATTTTTGCTGCACGAAAACAGAACTAATGAAGGAAATGTAGTAAATCAGAATATTGATAAAAAGGGTGAAAGTCAGGAAAATGCTGGAGCAGGTGATGGACCAGACAATAACAAGGTTGAAGATAGTAAAATAAAAGAAATAGAAAGGTAAGTTATAATATGTGAACTAGAGCGGTCGCTATAACACTGATTTTGAGGACTATACCATAATACCTGTCTTGAAAAAAAAATTTCATCCAGTTCCCTGGTTACTTCAGATTTTTAATGTATTTGAGTTGCGGGAACTAAGTTCAATTAGATTTCGAACTAGTGTTAAAGATACATTGTCCTGAAAGTATTTATTGGGTGGTTATTTCCAATGAAATTATGGCAAATTTATTATTGGAAAGTATAGACACCAAATCTAACTAGAAAAATTCTGGATTGCCCGAATAACACTCATGGGGCAAGCGCTGGGGAAAAATGTCAGGGTATCACTAACTGGCAACACGGCTATTGTCTGCCAACTTATTGTTTGCTAGATTGACTGAGGGAGTGGTTGTTATTTCTTGATCAAGTGATTAGGCGGTTTGGGGAACATTGAGAAGTGTCAATATACAGAAGACTCTGAAATTAAACGTCGGAAAAAGAAGTTAACAGTGAATAATTAAAAATTTACTTAGTCCTCAATATGTATGGTAAATGGACAGGAAGTATTGGAAAATGCATTCTAAAAAGACAGACTCTCACTCAATGAAGTGATGAGACAGCCATGGCCTTTAACATCAGTTTATTTATAGCTTGAGGTATCCCCTAGCTATACAAAGGTTTGAGAGGTATTTGAAGCAAAATTTTTGATGGATTAATTAGATTAAATATATTTTTAGTCCAAATATATCATCAAATCACACAGTTTGTATGCGGAAAAGTATCTTTAAATGTTTTTTCACTTGGACGTCAAATTATAATTGACATTTTAGAACTGTAATAAATTGAATATAATAAAACCTCTTATTTCTCATTTAATTTACAGACCTAGAATATATATGCAGGATTTAGAATCTGCACTTCAGGTTTCATTCCGACAAGAAATAGCTCTTCGTAGAGAGATAGATGGAGATGATATGATAGCTCTACAAAACTATGTCACTGTTTTATCTAAGGTATTCAATATTGATAAATATCACTACGCTTTTGTTTAGAATCTATGGTGTATTTCAGTTTTACTGTCTATACTTCAAAATGCAAGATATGTTTGTGGAAAGTAGGTAACCAGTAGCAATTATCATGGCCATTTTCTACAAAAATAAAGCACTAGCTTTATACTGAATTTTTTAATCCAAAAGACCCTGTTGATTATATGATCTACTAAGTCTCTATTAATTGTACATTTTTCTTCTCTAAGAAATTTCTATACCAGTATGGTCATAGAGCTAGATTACCAAGTATCTGAATCAAAATCTTAATACAAATATGACTTTAATATGTAATATACCCATTTCTCAATTAAAATTACCTGATAAAAACTAAAATTATAAATGATAATAATAAATACCTGTATTATTTATTATAGTATTTACCAGGTAGAGATGAAATTAAGACATTTTTACAACAAGTAAATGATTGGTTAACTACAATATCTAGACCATTATCTGGTGGTGATTGGTTACATGGTATAGATGGTCTACAGGTAATATATTATCATTTTTTAAAAATCGTAGCCGCTGTGTTTGCCACGAAGATCATCGGGTGTCAGTGGTGCAGGACAGCGGGCCTGGCAAGGGACAACGTATAGTAGATCAGATGTGCAAAAGAACCCTTGGCAGTTGGAATTTGATAGAAGAGTAGACTGTTCGGGCAAAATTTCCCTCATAGCACACTGTATAACATATGCCGTCTTCATTAGCCCAGTCAGAGCAGAACAGTAGGATGTTAAACTCCATTTCATTTCATTTTTTAAAAATCTGCATAACTGCACAAATTGGATTTATTTCTTTCTAGAATGTTAAGTTGGTGCCTATATATATATATACATGTAGTGAGGGGTGGGTGGGATGTCAAATAGTCTAGCACATGCACTTTAGTTCATACGGTCTGCCATGGAGTCAAGTTCTGCGGTTCCTAATCTTATGGTTTTTCTCCTGGTCATCATCCGGTTTTCTTCCCTGTTAAAGACCCCTGTGCACATTCAAATTATTGAAATTAATTTGTACCATATGTAAGTCCCGAAATGACCTAATCTCTAATGAGTGGACATCAAACCTCATCTCTCTATATCCCTGTAGTGAGTTTCAATTACAATTGAGTTTCTTAATGTAATCTCAGCAAAAAGGAAAAAAAATAAATTGTGCCATGTGACTTGTTTATGTGAATTCAATTGATTTGTTAAAGGGGCATTAGATAAGATTAGATAAAGAGCTGACAGTTCTTGCTATAATAGTTAAAAATTAGATAATGAAAACAGAATATGCTGAAAATTTCAGTCAAATTACTTCACTCTGAACCGAGATATTAGCCTCGATTATCATTGTTAGAGTCGGTACGATAAACAATATAGTCTTGATTATCCATTTTTGGATTAAATCATCAATGAGCGTTGAGCAGCAAATCGGATTCAAATTCAGTAAATTTACTTCTAGAGTTTTGTCCCTCGTTTCACTTTGTTGATGTTTGATTGATGAAAGTTATCATTCGATAAGTATGAAATTTATATGCATTGATCATTTAAATTTGTGAAATGGAGAAGTCTATTGAATTTCAGTAATTTCCACCAATTCTAAGCCCTTGTTTTACTCTGTTGAACCTTGTGAACATTCAGACCTGTATGAATTTCAGTAATTTCCACCAATTCTAAGCCCTTGTTTTACTTTGTTGAACCTTGTGAACATTCAGACCTGTATGAAATTTTTGTTTTATTTAACTTATTAAAACGAAAAAGCCTGCCAAATTTTAACAATTTCTGTTAATTAGGGCCCTTGTTTTAGTTTGTAGAACCTTTTGAAGCCTCAAAAGACGAAAATTATAATTTGATCTGTATGAAATTGTCTTGTAAATGCCCCCAATTACCTACAAAAGAATAAATATGTGACAACCCTTGCCGACCGCTCGAATGATTTAGCTGCTATTGGCTTATGTTTTGTTGCCTATCTTTGGTCCTTAATTTTAAATATTTTTTTAACTTTTCAAAACCTAAGCCTTTTTTAATAGTTTATTTATTATGATTAGGCCAAATAACAAGCTTGGCTGTCATTTAGAGCATGAAATACTTTTATTTTATGTTAACTTTTTTTTGTATTTTCAACTGAGATTGTATGAATATGGGGAAGTAATTACTAAATGGAGTCATCTCCCATGATAAATTGCATTACCTTGTATTTGTTGGATGAATTAGTATATTTATATGATATAATATGTTATATTTGTTGGATGAATTAGTATATTTATATGATATAATGTGTTATATTTGCAGGATCAATTAGTATATTTGTATGATATAATATGTTATATTTGTAGGATGAATTAGTATATTTATATAATATAATATGTTATATTTCTAGGATGAATTAGTATATTTGTATGATATTATGTGTTATATTTGTATGATGAATTAGTAAATTTATATGATATATGTTATATTTCTAGGATGAGTTAGTATATTTACCTGATAAGGTACAATGGGTAGGATGTAAAGGTAGTGCTGCTGAATATAGAGGTTATCCTTGTAGTATGTGGACAATGTTTCATACCCTTACAGTCAATGCATATTTAAATGAAAAAGGTATGATCAGAAATTAGAATTAAGAAAGTCCCTCAGAAGATATGAAATGCTAAATTTTCTCAAAATAGTTTAGTATACAGATGATTAATATATTTATAAATTTTTGGTTATGTTAAAGAGATAGCCGAGAAAGTTCATTTTGTCATTGGTGCAGGACAGAGGGCCTAACAAGGACAGATGTCTAGTCATTCGGATCAGATGAAAAACTAAGGTCCTGTGTCAGTCTAATTAAAATATAGATCTATATTTCATTTCGTTTTTTATACTTTCGATGGCCTACACTACATGTAGATCTAACAAGTTATAGTGGGAGTTCACGTTCTATGACGTCAGGTACCAAGCAAGTGACATTTGACCCGATTACGTCAGTCATTCGAGTAACCAATTAGCGACCGCCATCTATTTTTCATCTACTTTTGCTTTGTTTTGATTTCTATTGCCGCTAATGTCTACCCACAGTTCTGTGCAAAAAAGGTCAAACGCTCGATTCGACAGACCATTTGATTGGCTGACCCCTCATTTCAAGCAGAACACGAGTTAGATAACAACACTTCCAGATCCAAGTGTAGTAAAGACAAGTAAAATCGAAATTTTGAACTATAAAAACGAAACGAAATTGGATCTGTGTTTTAATCAGATTGGTCCTGTGTACACTTTGGCCGGCACGTAAAAGATCCCTTGGCAGTTGGAATACGATATAAGAGTATGTCCTAGTGTCGCTGTCCGGGCAAAAATTCTCTCCTAGCACACTATGGCATATGCCCGTCTTCATTAGCCCAGTCTGACCAGAAGAGTAGGACGTTAAACCCCATTTCATTTTGTTATACAGATAAGTTATTTGTTTGCTCGATGCTTTGTGAAAAGATTCATTTTGAGATTGAGGCTGGATTGTTAATCTTTAAATGATATATTTTATTATTTTACAGTTGAAGATGTTAAAGAAGTCATCCATGCTATAGCTGGATATATGAAATATTTTTTTGGTTGTGCCGAGTGTACTGAAAACTTTTTGAAAATGGCAGCTTCTGCTGATAAAGATCTGCGGAAGAAGAAAGACATGGTTATTTGGCTGTGGAGTGCTCACAATAAGGCCAACAAAAGACTGCATGGAGATTTGTCCGAAGATCCAGAATATCCCAAAATCCAATTCCCATCACCAGAAGCATGTCCAAAATGTTACGCTGCCGACAGCAAACCATGGAATCCCACATGGAAAACTGATGAAGTGTTAAGATTTTTAGTAGAAATGTATCGCGCCAATAATATTATAACATCTGTACCGGATGACCAAGCCGATTTAAATCGTTTATCATATCGTAAGGGTATTAAATCACCTGCAGAAGAAAAATCTCTGGATTGGTGGGAAAAGAGACTACGTGGTCAAGACTTAAAAAAATTACGCGAAATTCGAGAAAGAAAGAAAAATAAATTGTCTGGAAATAGTGGTTATTTTAAAAATGAGAGTGTTGATAAAGAAATAATCAGTAATCATATTTCTCCGCGCTTAAGAACTAATTGGAGTTTAAGTAGTGTAGATTTAGGGATGTGTATGGCGTTTTATGTGATATGTGCTATTATTATTCTCATGTTGTATTATCATTTTACTATTCGTACTAAATATAAACCAATATGTAAGTGTTTACCGGTATGACTAGTATATGTTTTCTGTGTGATATTGTTTTTTATTTTGTTAATGGTGTTTTACAAATATGAATGTTATTCCTTTAAATTTGCGTTTTAGATGACGGAAAACGGGGAAACTCTTTAATGTTAACCAAATAAGATTTTAATTTTGTTTCGGTGAGTGACAGCCATACATTTCTCTCATATGAACACTCTTTTAAACAAAACATACTTGCTTGCTCTTCTCCAAAGTTCTTAGATACAGTTTTTGATTTGTAAGGATTTTAATCTTGATTTCTAAGAACTAAAATTCAAAATGGTTTGGTTTATTATTTTGTGTTTAGGATTAGTACATAGTAATGATAATACAGTGCAGAAATTTGTGAGCTTTTAATTTTAAAATTTGTATTGTAATTTATATTTTTGTGATGTATATAATTATAAATTATCATCAGCAAAGCTTTAAACTATTTATGCCTAAAACAAAAGTGCTTGACATTTGTTGTATTTTATAAAACAATTGATATGTTTATTTTTTGTGTAGGTAGGCATAGTTGAGGTGTAGTACTTAAATTTGTTAATCATTAAAGTAAACTATTTACGGTTGTACAATATCTGCATTCATTTATAATGGATGTTTAGACAGTTCAAAGATATTTCTTTTTAAATCATATTTTTATTCAAGATATCTGTATGGGATTGGGGAACAGACTTCGCCTACGTAAAACTCATCTCCCTGAGGCATGTTCCCGTTGGTATGACTTCATGAGCTTAAACAGATTAAATTAAGATAAAAGAGATGCATGTTAAAACATTATTTACCTTAATCTTAACCTCTGTGGCCATAAAAAGTTGGTCTGCTGAAAAACTCTGTGATACCACTTAGTTCAATAATAGGGGAATTTCATGGACAATCAAAGAAAATCACACATCTTTTTTTAAGCACTATTATCATTATATGCAATGTGCCACATGGGTCAAATGTGCCATTTATGCCTTGGACTACAGCAATATGACATCTGCCTGTAAAAGGGTTATATGTAACACAAATTAAGATGTTTGAGACTGATTTATATTCAGGTGAAGGTGATTGCTGGACCCATTTGGCCACATTAGCTCAGTCTATGCTGCATCTAGTCTGTGTGTTATTTTAGAGATATGTATCTAGTCGGTGGTTCATGTATACCTAGTTCATTCATTTTAGTCTACACTATTATATACTATTATATATAGAGGAACAATTGTTGATGATTTTATGGTTATTGTAATAGTTGTGTTTCATATTGGACAAGATACCAAGATGTCAGTGACTTATGAGGGTTTGAGTTCAGAATATGTGGCAGACAAATTTTGAATTCTATGCACCGATTGTTGTCATAAATATAATAAAAATATATAATTCCTTTGTGTATATAATGATTTTGCTCAATCAGATCAGTATTGTGAATTATAGTTAAATTCTTATGTATCTGTGGTTCTGTCAGACAAGAACATAAATCACTCTTGTTTGCATTTGATTAAACATAAGAGTTCCTTTTAATGAAACTATGACATATTTATTCTTTTTATTGATTTAGTGTGTCGAACATGAATTGTAAGAACTTCTAATGGAAATGACAGTAAACAGCTTTATGGATATCATTCACTAGGTTTATTATCTGCAACATTTCAATGAGGTTACTTTCACTGTTATCTAGCACTGACAAGTTTGAGCCTTATCTCAGTTTAAAATGTTTATAAACATAAAAACTATAGATTTGACTGTATTTATTGTGTTATAAGGGTAAAATCTTTAATATAACTAATTTGACTGACTGGTAAATTCCCCAGACGGTCAATTACCCGCATGACAGAAGTGGCTAATATATGGTCGAATTTAGAGTCTTGGGGTAAAGCTAGGCCTGCTCTGTGCATGTTGAGGCTGATCACAAGATTTATGAACATGTTATGCTATTATTTATATGTGGCTATATTAATGTGCCTGTGAATATTTCCTTACTTGATGTGTTTCTTTATTATCATTACTTGCACAATATTTATTTTTTATTTAAGCTTATGTTCAATATATTAATGTATGATACATAATATTATATGATGTATGATGTATGTACAGTTTGTGATGTACCTCTATGAGTGTAAAATAACAAGAGTATTAATATAATCATTAGTATAAAATGTTTCAATGGCATTTAGTAAATGAACTGGAGAAAGACAGGACACAAGTCTATGGAATACAGTTATTGTTACTGAGTGAGGTTTTGGCTAGGCTTCTCTAAGGAAACGGCAATGCTCAAGTCTAAATAATGTTAACTGGTTGAACTGCACTCAGAACTGTGGAACCAAAGTGAGTTATCCTTGGACCTGATGAGTGTAAATGGTGTTAATGGAAGATAATTTCCTGATAAATTGTATTCAAACCATGATATGCGTAAAGTTTATTTCCAAACAAAATATAATCTTACTGAAGTTAATTGTAATGAAATTGAATAGAATAATATTAGCGCTAGGTTGAGGGTTTATTTAATATAATGTATGTAAATTTAGAATTTTATTTTTAACTGAAATCTGCAGAGAAATATTAAATTATGCCAGGATTAGTGTCTTAATGATAATAGGTGTCTTTTCCCCCTTGTCTGTGGTAGAAGGAACAGTGTCCAGTCTTTCAGATGGGACGAAAAACCAAGATCCTGTGCACACATTGGCATGCATGTCAGAGAACCCTTGACAGTTGGAATTCGAAATAAGAGTAGGTTGTGGATCCGCTGTCTGACAAAATTTGCTTCGTAGCACACTGCATGGCTATGTCCGTCTTCATTATCCCAGGTGGAGCAGAAAAGTAGGACATTAAAACCCCATTTCATTTCATTTTATGATAAGATTTGAAAGAAATGAGGTGTTATAATACTGTACAGTGTTATATATAGCTTTACAATTGTTGATTTTATTGTATATATATTGTATTTATATTTTAGGTGGTTTGATATATATTATTTCTCTGTAAGATGGACTATTATTAGTAGAAAAACAATGGTGCCAAATTCATTATAGCAGTATACAAATAATTTTGCTCTCAAATTTGAAAACCAGGTAAGATCAGTTGGTCTGGATTATTGCAAGGACTTGAGTGTTTATACAGCTATGTGTGATAATCATTACTATGTAGGGTGTATGCAGTCCAGTCCACTGACCTTGTCTAGTTTTCAGAACGATGTTTTTTGTTTTTGATTAGTTAAAATTAGTAAGTAATTAGATGGTCATAACTTAACTTAAAGGTATAAACAGGACAGTAACATCTATAATTTTAGATAATTGAAGCTGGAAGATTATTGACCTTTGAGATTTGGATTTTGTGTTCTTAATTAAATGGGGGGGGGGGGGGATGGCCGAATGGTTAGGATGTGCGCGCTGTATCATAAAACCTGTCATTGAGTCATCTGGCGTGGTTTTGAATCCCTGGTTGTATGTGACAAGGAGTAGGGTCGCCTGTCCAACCTCATGGGTTTTTTCCGGGTCCTCCGGTTTCCTCCCACTGCTAAAGACCCATACGCACAAGCGAATTATTGAAATAAAATTAAAAATATATGTTAGTCCCGAAAAGACCAAGTTTGTATCGAGTGGACTTTAAACCCCATTTCTCTCTCTCTCTCTTACTTAAATGTTAAATAATTAATTTTGAGTACATTTCGGCCGAAAAATGCAAATGACAATTAGTGACTTAAAGTCAATATTATGGTTATTGTGGAATATTATGCCTTGTATAAAAGTATGGATATCAAGTCAAGGTGAATCGATATAGAATACTGTCATAATTGATTTCTAGTAAAAAATGTGTTACGTCTGTTTTAATATAGAACTGTCAAGAGGATAAAATCTGAGAAATAAAAAAAAAGATGTATCTGCTTTCAAATGAATGTTCAGAAAAATGTTTGTATATATACATTCCATAAAGCTAATGCTGCATAAATAAACTTTTATTATAAATTTATTATGTTATATTTTTCTTGTAAAATATGGCTAGGAATCTAAGCAATATATGGTCATATTCGGGGGCCTTATAATAATGAGCTTGGTGAATGTGTCCTTTCTTGAGGAGATATGGCCCATGCGACTCAGAATTGATCCTTATCCAAAGACTTTTGTAAGCAGATATTTTTTTAACAAGAATGAAATAGCCACAATCTACCATTGTGAGGGTTTTTTTTGTGGTGATAGAGATAGCCCCTGGGTCAAATTTCACTCCCTGGACTTCCAAGACTTACAAAACTGAACTGGAACTAGAATATATTTATTGTTTAAGCGGCATTTAGTAACTGGATGAGAATAACACACGATACAATTATATATAGTACAGTGAAGATATAATATGTAACAAAGAAAAACATTAATGTACAACGAGAGATAATCATTTACCCATCATGGCTTCTCCCCCCCCCCCCCCCCCACCTTTGATGGTTGTCATTCTTTGCTTGATAAAGACGATAGAACCCTCGTCGAAACGTCGCCAGAAATAAATCTTTCAAGTAACCTGTATCCTATTTAATTGTGTCATGTGTTCGAATATATTTATTGTACCATGTATCATTATATTCGTACATATCCAGAGCGAACATGTCCGATATTATACAAAGTCACATTGAGGAAAGAACACCAGTGGTTAAGGCGTGTATATTGATGATGAAACCCTTTTATTAAATTTAGAGATTATTTAGTTGCCATGAACGCTAACGAGTTCCAATAACAACTACACAGCGTACGTCATGGGCCTAAATAATCCGACAACAATTTATAATATTTCTAATAGTTTCAGGGATGCCGTTAGCACTAAACGAAGGACTCTGTGGAAATTCAGAATTTAGGGAATTGGGATATAAGGAGGAATCCGGTCTAAGCCCGACCTCCATTCCATTATTTTTGAAATCCTGTGAAAGAAATACAAATTTGATTTTGACCTAGAATGGAAAAAATTATCTGCTGATTGAATGTACGAGGTCTGACAAAAGATAAAAAAAAAAAAAAAAAAAAAATCAAAACGAAACGAAACCAAATTCTAATCTAATTTTAATTCGATTGTATCTAAAAACAAACCGATTCCATTTGATATCCCGGAGTTCAAATATGATTCAGGACTATTAATGAATTTTTATTTTAAAAACGTCGACAAAAATAAACATCCATCTAACCTATTCCATATACCTGTGTTATGAATGCTTTATCCGGATGTAACAGAACAGTAGGACGCTAAACCCAAATTTCAATTCATTTGTCGCGCTTTATCGTTTATATTAATATTATCGTTTTAAATGTCATATTACCTAATTACTTTATGTATGAAATAAATATTTTTATACATGCTAATTTTATAATGATAATCCATTTATTCTGTTTTATATTTCAAAAGTTTCTACATTTTACAAATATTTAACATTTGAACGAAGAAAACAAGAATCACAGGTAATATAATATGAACAGATGTAATAGTTTACATGATACAATAAATACAAAGATAACATCACCACACCAATTATAACATTACAAACTCATTTCTCACTCATGTGTATTGTCAAGGAAAATTTGATAATTTGTGACAACCAATTAATTTGAACACGACGCTAGATTTTTGCGTGAGCTTGTCACGTTTAAGGTATGGCGCGTGTCTG